AGGGGAAACTGGGTGCTGAGTATATGGGACAAATATAGAGTATATGGGAACTCTTCGTACTACATTCTAAATTTTTCTGTAAATTTAGAACTGTTCTAAACAATAAAGTCTATTTAAACATGTTTTTAAGAAGAACATGGGCTCTGGAGCCCAACCAGCTGGTTAGAATCCTAACCAGCAATTTACTAAACTGTGACTTGTGGTAAGTTACTTAAACTCTCCATGCCACAGCTAGAAGGACCTGCAACTAGGATATTCAACTACGTACTGGGGGGATTTGGGGAGAAAAAGCAGGGAAAAAAAAAAAAAGATTTGCAACAGTTGTTAGCTCAGGTGCCAATCTTAAAAAAAAAAAAATTACTTAAACTCTCTAAAGTCAGTTTCCCTAACTATAAAATATAAATAGAAACAGTACCTACATTACAGAATTTCTGATAAATGAGATAATCCACAAAATTGCTTAGCACAGAGTGTCTGGCAAACAGTAAACAGCCAACAGATGACAGCTATTATTATTATTACTATTATTTTAAATCTTTATTGAGTATTCAAATACACATTTAATGTGATTTTACATTTAATTTCTTTTAAAGTGATTAATAATTTCTATGATAATTTTCATTCCTTTTTGGAGAGGAAGAAAACTGAATACAGTAATCCTCCCTTATGCGTGGTTTTACTTTCCACAGTTTCAGTTACCTGTCATCATCTGTGGTCCAAAAATATTGAATGGAAAATTCCAAAAATAAACAATTCATAAATTTTAGATTTCGAGCCATTCTGAGCAACGTGAGGAAATCTCGTGCCATCCCGCTCCGTCCACCCAGGGACATGACGCATCCCATGGACGCATGTCCAGCAGATCCACGCTGTATCGCCACCTGCCCGTTAGTCACTCAGTAGCCATCTTGGTTATCAGATCAGCTGTCTTGGTAGTACAGTGCTTGTGTTCAGGTGCCCCTTATTTTACTTAATAATGGCCCCCAAATGCAAGAGTAGTGATGCTGGCAATTCAGATATACCACAGAGAAGCCATAAAATGCTTCCTTTAAGTGAAAAGGTGAAAGTTCTTGACTTAATAAGGAAAGAAAAAAAGTTATATGCTGAGGTTGCTAAGATCTACAGTAACTTTTATTACAGTATATTGTCATAATTGTTCTAATTTATTATTGTTATTCTTAATCTCTTACTGTGCCTAATTCATACATTAAGCTTTATCATAGGTATGTATGTAGAGAAAAAAACATAGTATTTATAGGGTTTGGTACTATCCATGATTTCAGGCAACTGCTAGAGATCTCGGAACATATCCCCCATGGACAAGGGGGGACTACTACACACCCCATTACATAGTATCTATAAAAAGAGTTCTTTCTCAGTGTATCATAAATGTTGAGAGATTTTACAGAGTGAACTGGTCCAAACAATTTAATTTAAATACCACTCTATGGTAACGTAACGAAACAAGTCGTCACCAGAGGCTCTGTATACAAGTTATCATGTCTGGAAGGAAGTGTGAGATAAATAACATTCTCCAATTTGGGTTCCTACTTTCGTTAGAAAGCCATAAAATCATCAATATCAAACAGAGAATATATTATCTTGTGATTACACTATTTTTAATAACAATACTTGATAAAAGTAGTTTGAAGATTAATACATACAATGTGTTCAAAGATAAAAAGAATTAAGTGGAGTAGCAAAATAGTGCGGTAAAATGACTGTTACGTTAAGATGCTATTAGAGAAGAGAATTTGGCCTAAGCAATGGCTCCCAAACCAGGCTGTGCATCAGACTCACCCATACGGCTTAGCAAAAAACAGAAAGATGCTGGACCCTCAACACAGACCTACTGAATCACCAGCTCCAGGGGTGGGGCCTGGGCATTTGTGTTTTTAAAAGATGGCACAAGAGATTCTGGTTTGTCAACGACTAGTCTACCTTATTGTGTATACACTGATCCTATCACAGAGCCTGCCACACGATCTACCTTTGTTGGAGCTGCCTTACGTAAATACAGCCTGATGTTTACCATCATCAAGAATCATGATCAGTTAGAAACAGTCTTACCTATTACCATTACAGTTGTTTGTTATATGGCATAAATTTTGGACCCCCTATATCTTTAGGCTCTCCGTGGTCCTGAGCATAACAGAGACTGTCTCCTTGAGTCAGTCTTCCCACACACTCCCCTGTCCTCCTAAGGTCAGGTTTTCCCTTCCTGCACCTCGTCCCTCTTTCTCCTTCCACTGTGCCAATAAAGAAACTCAGCATCTCTAACACAGTTGGTTGCCCTCCACTACCCTGAACTGGGCCAGCCTTCCCTCCTCGCTGAGCCAACAATGCACAAAGCAGCTGGTCTGTTCCAGGTCTCCTTTCAGAGCTATGCAGTCCTGGCAGTCAGTAGGCACAACCCCCTGCACTACGCAGGGAGGAGACATTAGATTCTCCCCTGTGAGAGAACAAATACACGTAGGAACAATGGCCAGACTACACATAAAAATAGAGTTCTGACCCACACTGTGCATCAACCAGCCCAGGAAGCCAATCTCCTCCCTGCAGCAACTAGTCCAGGAAGCCAAACAACAACTCCTAGAGAATCGGCCCCAAACAGTCAGGAACTGATTAGTAACTGACAGCTTCCTTAATTTTTGCCCCTACTTCCAACTCAGAGCCAACTGGAGAAAGCCAAATAAACACCCCTATACAATCACATTGAATGCCCCGCTTCTAGTTAGTCCGTCCACAGCTTCCCACGCCAACACCTCCGATCAGGGCAGGCCCGAAGCCTTCTCTTCTGTCCACTAGAAAGCTTTTCCACTCCTCCGCCTGCCTTTGCATCTGTGTCAAACACAAGTGATGATGGCTGACTCCCTGGCCTTGAAGAAATAGCCTTTGCTTGTTCTCATTTGGGTGGTTTTCATTTATTTCCATGACTAGGAAAATGGGGCTGCATGTTTGAAATGGCTCACTGAATTGTTCTTTCATGGCTGTACTTTAGGGAGGCTGTGAGATGTAGCAATACTCATGACCTTTAGGAAGTCACAGTCAGGAAATGGAGAATAGCTGCGGGGTTAGGGCACAGGCCCAGGATCCAGACTGCCAAGGTTCAAGTCCTGGCCCTCCCACTTCCTAGTTGTGTCAATTTGGGCAAGTTACTCAACTGATTTGTACCACAGTTTCCTCACCTGTTAAAACACTGGTGACAGTAATAGCACCTGCCTCGCAGGGTGATCGGAAGGGTTATATGAGACAGCCCATGTGAAGCATGAAATCTGAATATCAATGCCGAGAGGGAGAGAGAGAGAGGGGGAGAGAGACACGGAGAGAGAGGAGATCCAGCAGCACTGGGCTGAACTTCCTGAACAGCAGCAGTGACCCGGGACTGAGTACGGACAGCCCCGTCTAGATGAGACGTAAAAAATGGTCTTCCATTTTTCAGCCTGCACTGACCCACCTCACTTGTTTATGACACCTACCCGACCCCACTCACTGCCTGTGAACTGGACTTAAAACATCTTTCTCTCACTGATTTAGTAACTAGGAAACCACGGGGCACGAAAACTGCCCATGCCATCCTCCATTTCAAAAAGATCTGGTCTGGATGGATCTTATCCCTCAAATGCATACTAGAAATCTCTGTGCTTTCCACATCCTATGCTTTCCAGATCTCTATGCTTTCCAGAAATCAAAGGATCAAGTATCCTCTTCTGAGATGTTTACTTCAGGGCCATAATTTAAAATTACAGAGCTTATAATATAGAAAAAAGGTTTATACAACCAGAGGCGGAATGCCACTTTCCAGAAAGTGTGGCCACATTGTTCATCAATCACAAATAAAACTCTTTTCCTCAAAGGTTTTCTGTTTTTCTCGATAAGAAAAATAGCTGTTTAAGAAAATCAAGGCTAAGTCGTTTTGACATAATTGTGTTTATTTTCAACTAACATTAATTAAAGGCAGCCTCATGGAGTATCAACTGTAACCCCAAATGCCTGTACTTAACAAAACAGAGATTTTCGTCTGAATTATTTCTGATGATCACATCCGACTTCCAACAAGCAGTCCCTCAACATCCCAAGGACAGCATAACGTGCTTGAAGCCACCTTTCTAGATTAAAATAAAAAGCCATTCTCTAGCATAAACCTTCATTCCACCACATTGGGTAAATAAGCAAGATACATTTAATCAAGAAAACTGGGAGCCACGTTAATTACAAAGAGCATTTCACTTTAGTATTTCACCTTAAATTTAATTAAGCTGGGCACCTGGGAGTGCACTGAAAACACCAAAGGACAAATATTTTAAAGTTATAAAAAATGTTTTAATGTGAAAATTATATTCCGGGGTAATTTCGCAATTACAAGACATCACATACGCCTTCTGACATAAAGTATTCTGAAGCAAGCAAGGCAGGAAGAGTTGATAAACATTAGCCGCTGTCACGCGAGCGTGTTTCTCCCAAGGCTCCGCTCACTGCACCCTGCAGCCTTACCCAGGGTCTCTTTGAAAGAGAGGGGGGGGGGTGGGGGGGGGGGGGAGGTGGTCATCTCAGGGAGGATCCGGGTCCTGCCCCAGGCGAGGAAGGGGCAGCTCCTCCGCCCCACCGTCCAGGAGCCGACGGAGAGACCCCCGGCGCGGGGCGCACGGAGCGTGCGCGGAGCCTCCAGTCCAGCACCCAGCCAAGCGACCCCAGGCACGGGGCGCACGGAACGTGCGCAGATCCCCTGGTCCAGCACCCAGGCAAGCGGCCCCTCGCACGGGGCGCACGGAATGTGCGCAGATCCCCCGGTCCAGCACCCAGCCAAGCGGCCCCCGGCGCGGAGCGGGGTGCACTGTGCGTCCACGGAGACTCGGTCCAGGAACGGGCGGAGCGGCCCCAGCACGGCGCGGGGCGCACGGAGCGTGCGCGGAGGCCCCAGTCCTGGGGCCGGTGGAGCGACCCCCGGCGCGGGGGGCACGGAGCGTGCGCGGAGCCCCCGCCCGCCCGGGCGCACTCACCGAGGCGGCGCCAGCCGAGCGCGCCGTCGCAGCTGTCCAGGACGGCGCAGAGCTCGCCCAGCAGCACGGGAGGCAGGTCGAAGAGGAGCGTGTGCGCCGAGAGCTGGCCGCGGGCCCCGCCGCTGCCCGCCGCTGCCGCCCAGGCCATAGCTCTGCCGCCGGAGAGCAGGGCCCGGTGGAGGAGGGAGGCGAGGCCAGGCCGCTGCGCGCCCGCGGGGGGCAGTTACACAACCGCGGAAATTCTGCTTCTACGACGGCGGCCCGGCCGGCCGGCCCACGTGACGCCGAGCGCGCTCCCCGGGTGCCCGCGGCTGCAGGCCGGGCTCCCCGCCCGCTCCCGGGCGTCTGGTTGCTCCGGATGTGGGACGTGCCTGAAGAGACAGAGCCGAGGGCGAGCTGCAGCAAGACCCGGAGGGCCGAACTATGGGGAGTCCGCCACCCCAGGTCCGTCCCCGCAGGGGCTGTCTCCTGGCGTGGATGGATAGGGGATCTGTCGTCACTTCTTTGTAAAGTTGACTTCGTGTTTTCCGTTAGAAAAGCGAGACACGTTCATTGAGGAACGCTTGGAAAACAGAAAAGTTGCACGAAGAAAATAATCACTCAGCTGAAGACAGACACTCTAAACGTTTGGCACGTGTTCCTCCTGACTTTGACTGAATTTAAACAGATAAGCGTGCACGTATGAAGTGGTTATTGGAAAGGTGGACGTAGATACAACAGAAAAAAGACAGAACCAAGTGGAGTGAAATTGTGGTCCTTGAAGAGGCTGCCCCTTCTCCATGCTCTGTCTGGTTTTACTCCCTTCTCTTCCTCCTGGGCTCTACTGATGAAAGCATGTTCGACCACGCTTCTCTTCCTCAGAGTGCTTCACAGAATCTTCCTTTTGCTTTGAACATGGAGTTTAAGTAAAACGGACTATTGTTCTGAAATCTCCTACTGTCCATGCGGTAACCTCCCACCGCATGCATGATGTAAATAAGAGGAGACGCTTCGAAAGTGGTCAGAAAAATCCCGACCTTAACGAATGAAGACTGCACAATGGCCATCGACTAAAACCCACACCTGTTTGAAACCTTTCAGATTTGTACTCTTTGGGAACGGCGCCCCCTAGAGATCAACCGTGATGCTACGCGACCATTTAGTACCCCAACCTGAATTTCCAAGTGTTTCTCAGCTGAAGTATCCCGCAAAATACGCTTGAAAATTGATAAACCCAATACTGTTTGGGCAAAAGTTTCTGTATCCCTCTGTTCAAATAGCTAAGGTGTTAATGCCAATCTGTACGCGTTTAAGAAGCCCTATAGTTCTCAAAGAGGCTACTTGAATAAGTTGAGCAATAGAGCCAAGATACGATTAAGTACTTGGTAGGCATTGAATTGCTAGAAAAGGGGAGCCAAACTCAAATATGCAGAGGAGCCAGGAAGTCACTGTGGGTGAGTGAAGCAACCAGCAAGGCCTACTTGGCCACATGTTTTGATTCAGAGAGAAGCAAGGATTTTATGTGAAAGCCGATTTTGTGAAGTCTGTATGGATTATGTGAAATCTCTTGTGTTTTTAGGGTTGGCAGTTACTATCAGACCGTGCTCTCTCCCTATTCTCTAAAGCTGCCTTTGACTTTTGAATTTTATATCATCAGGTTATGTGCACTACTCTTCACTGTCGCTGCCGGGCCCTTCTCTCCTGCACCTCAATTCCTCCTCATTTTTAGAACTCATTTGTTGAACTGTCTTGGCAAATCTACTATCCTGATTAAATCCAGTTTTCCAATTTTTGTCTCTGTACCCATGCACCTGAGTGTAGCTGGGGGTGAGGGTGAGGTGGGACAAAAGTGCTGTTAATTGGACTCAATTGAAAATCAAAGTCGTGACTCTCAAGTGTGTCCTTTATCTGCCAGCTGGTCACACTATGTGCTTTTACTCCATTTACTCTTCTGGTCTCCTTGACAACTGTTTTATGACTTTTCTTTTCTCCTCAACTCCCATCACCTTCCTCCCGATCCTCATGCCCAGATGAGGGTCTTGAGAATAGGGATGCAGCGGGGTAAAACTTCCACAGAGTCGTACTACCACATCGATGTAGCTCCTGGCATCTATACCGCCATATACTCCTTGGTCTTTTCCATAAATGAATTATCTAGGCTCCTATCCGAGTCTAATACCTTCACTTGTACACTAGCTCCTGTCTCCTACTCAAAGACATCAAGGGCGACTTTTCTTGTTCCCTGCTACATCATCAATTTCTCACTCTTTACTGGATCAATTCCATCAGCATACAAATATATTCCACTTTAAAACAAACAAAAGAACTTTCATGCCACTTCCCTCTTCCATCAATCACCCCATTTCTTTGCTCCTTTTGTGGTAAAGAGTTGAATATTCTCACTGTCTCCAATTTCTCTCCTCTCATCTTCTCCTGAACCCACTCTAATTAGAGCCACCCCTCCCACCTTACTCCACTGAAACTGCTCTCTTCAGGGTCACCTATGTCCACACCATTGCTGAATATAATAGTCAGTTGTCAGTCCCTCATCTTACTTGATCTATCGGTAGTTTTTGACACAGTTGATCACCTCCTCCGTGTTGGACATTCTCTTCATTTGTCTTCCGCATTCTCTTACATTTTTGCTTATTTCACTGGTCACTCTTCAGCTTTCTTTGCTGTCTTTCCTCTTCTCCATTAACACTTAATGTTTGGGTGCACCAGGACTCAGTCTTTAGTTCTTTTCTCTGCCTACACCCACTCCCTTGGTAATGTCAACCAGTTTTGAGGCCTTAAATACCATCTCTCTACCGAGGACTGCCAAATTTATATGTTTAACACAGACCTTTCTCTTGAACTTGACTCATGTCCAAAATTGAGCTCTTGATCCTGCCCCCTAAAACTGCTCTTTCCACATTCTTCCCCATCTAGGTTACTCCATCCTTCCAGTTCTTGACCCAAAAATGAGAGTCTTCCTTGACTTCTCTATTTTTTCATGGCCTATATTCAATCCACCAGCAAATCCTGTTGACTCTATTCAAGATATGTCTAGAATCTGATACTTTTCTCCATTCCCGCTACTGCCATCACAGTTCGAGCCATCATATCCTGTCTGGATTACTATAGTTATCTCCTAACCAAAAGTGTCTTCCACTATTGCTCCCCACAGGCTTTCCTCAACACTACAGCCAGATTGATCCTTTTTTGGTTTTTGTTTTTGCTGAGGAAGATTCACCCTGAGCTTTCATGTGTGCCAATCTTCCTCTCTTTTGTATGTGGGTCACTGCCACAGCATGGCTACCAAGTTGTGTAGGTCTGTGCCCAGGAGCCAAATTAGGGCCACCAAAGTGGAGCCCCTCAAGGTTAACCACTAGGCCATGAGGCTGGCCCCCAGATTGATCCTTTTAAATGAAATCTGATTATGTCTTTCCTCTGTTGAGAAGCCGACAATGGCTTCTAATTTCAGTCAGAATAAAAGTCAAACTCTTTATAGAACCTGCATTCTCTCTCTCTCTCCCTATTCCTCTCTACCCTGTTACCCTCTGATCTTGTTTCCTTGTTCATTCTGCTAGCCACACTGTCGCCTTTCTGGTCCTTGAACACACCAGGCCGAAGCCTACATTAGAGCCCCTTTGCACTTGCCATTTCCTTGCCTGGCATGCTCTTCCCACGTGGTGAAGGTCCACCCTGACCTCCATATTTAAAATAGCAGTGGACCAGGCACTCAGATTCAGGCTGGCATGTGACTGAAATTGGCAATAATCCATGGCGTGGCGGGACCAGATCTCATTCAGATGTCTCTCACTGCATCTGGGTAGAAACATGCAACAGCTCTGGCCTTGCCTGGAACCATTCTGTAACGACAGGAGGTCAATATTAGAATGAAGTGAGCCCTGGAGATGGTCTAGTGAGAGAAAAGGCAAGATCCTTGATAACCTGTTAAGCAGCTCATTTATTCTATATCTAGAGAATGTCCTACTTGTGGCCTTCTAATTATATGACATAAATTCCCTTATTAAGTCAGTTTTTAAGCTGAGAGTCTTGTTATTTGCATCCAAATGCATCCTAACTGATACCCTGAACGGACATTTCGTCATACTCCCTGATTTGTGGAGGGCCTGTAAAACCAATGGAAAGGAAACTGACCTCTGCCCAAAACTGGAGTTCAAATGTATACAGCTCCATCTGTGGAATGTGAGATGGTTGTGGAAACTGTTTTGCAGAGAGAGTCAAGTGGGCCCCCTGAGAGAAATAAACGTTAATAGAGAAGGATTCTGGCAGCGTGAAGTTCTGGAGGCATGTGAGACTGCGCTGGGATCCATGCAGACCCAGAGCCTGTACCACACCCCACCCACTCCAGCATACATGCTTTCCCGGAAAGAGAGGGCTGTGGCTAAGCCACAAAACATCGACCTAGCCCTTTGCCATGGGATGCTCCCCAACTCCTCCCCCCACCCTCCAATCTTGGATGCTAGAAGAAGACAGTGCTTCCATCCCAACTGGAGGGAAGACAGGAATGAACTGTAAAGAATAACAAACAGAGATGCTGAGGAAACCCTGAAGGCTGTGGTGACAATGGCACCAATACACGGTATTATTAGTGTCCAAGCCACAGCCAAGCACAGGCATCAAAGCCTAAGAAATCTGAAAACAGGTGAGTCAGATAACAGCTCTTAACATATATGAGATGATTATCTTGGTGGCAGCTATTGATCCAGCGTCCCTAAGGATGAATGTTCAAAGGATACCCAGGCTTGTGGGACGTAGGAGATTTCCTGGTTTTGGAAATAATTTTCAAAACAAAGATCGATAACCTATCCCATCTTTGAGTCTCATCCCGTCCCCGAGCCTTAGAGGGTCCTAGGTGCACTGGGGTTTGGGGTGAGAGCACTGGTAGTGCACATTACTTGGTAATTTTAAGGAGTGAAAGTTGGATGGTTTCTTAGGCTTACATCAAAATGACCTCATGAAAATAACATGCAATAATTATTCCCCCAGTTCTGTGTGTGTGTGTGTATTTTTAAAGGACATTAGGCTTGCATTATCTTGTAACCTAACCTTTTCTCATTTAAGATAGCAATACATTTTTCTAAAAATCTTTATTTCACAAGATGATGTCTACTAAAATTTTAGCAGTTATCCTCTTAGGGTTGATGGAAGGGATTACTGGTGATTTCATTTTCTAACTTTGTGTTTTCCACACTTTCTAAAGTGAACATATGTCATCTCTATAATTAGAAAACTCTCAACTGTAGAAAATAATTTCTTCCAACACCGTCATGGTCGATCCCGTTTGACTATTTTCTTTTTAAATCATTTTCATGGCACTTTTCACCTCAGACTATGTTGCTGTAATAACTTTTTCCTAGTCACTATTGACTTTTAAAGGTCTGATTTTTATAACTGAATAGTTTTCAGTCAAGGTCTTTTCATAATAATTTCAACATTAGCTAATGTTCTTTTTTGAAGCAAACATTTATTTACCTCTAGAAGAACCCAAAACATGTGTAAAAATCTGAGATTATGGCGAAATTTTTTCTCTTGCAGTAAAATATTTATGTGACTGAGCAAAAAGGGCTCATTCTGCTCACCACAGTCTGGTGCCAATCAATTGCAAACAAGTTGGTGGTTGAGAAAGGAAAGTTTATACAATTAGCCAGCGTAATTGGAAGATGGCAGACTAGTATCCTGAAGAACCATCTTAAAATCACACAGATTCTTGAGGCAGTTCTATTGGCGAAATGGGCAGGGAAGGAGGGTGGTTAGGGATGTCGACCATCTGGTGTGAAGAAGTTCAAGGCGCCACGTTATCTCTTTCTTCTGTCATTCGTGATGGGTACCAACACAGAATTTTTCTTTCTGGAGATTGTCATGTTCCTGGGGAACTCAGAGAACAAAGTCGTCTTGTCACAGCTGGGAGATAAACATAAGCCAGAGTCACAGAACTAGCAGATCACATGTTTTGTAGAAGAGAGAGGTGGTTAATCATCTAGGCTACCTGCAGGCTAGAATGTATTCACAGAGGCTAGTGAGTCAGGGCCATAGCTACAATATTGCTTCCTTTCCCTGAGCCGGCTTGCCCCACGTTAACTTAAGATCTAGCTGTTACATTTACTCAGACTGTTTGCAATTTGAGACTGGAAAAGGGCTTAGAGATCCTAGTCCAATTCCTGCATTTGCAGATGGTGCAACTGCTGCCAGTGAGGAGAACTCTGGATGCCCTGCTTGTTGGAAAAATACTTACAGAAAAAAAATCTCGTTGAAGATTCCCAAAATGTCCTTGTTAAGTTATAAGCATAAATCTTACGTATTTTCCCTCTCAAGGATTTGGCTCTCTTTTCCTTGCTGTTGAGTAAATCCCCCAAATAAATCCTGTATTCATCTGTTTGGGCTGCAATAAAATTCCACAGACTGCATGGCTTACATAACAGAAATGTATTCCCTCCCCACCCTGGAGGCTGCAAGTGCAAGACCAAGGTGTCGACAGGGTTCTGCTTCTGGTGAGGGCTCTGAAAGAGAGAGAGAGAGGGCTCTCTGGAGTTTCTTCTTGTAGGACACTAATCCTATAAGATCAGGGCCCCACCCTTATGACCTCATTTCACCTTAATTACTTCCTTAGAAGCCCATTCTCCAGATACAGCCACACTGGGGATTACAGCTTCAACATATGAATTTCGGGGTGTGGGACACAAGCATTCAGTCCATGACAAGCCCTCTGCACAGAAGTTCAAGAAATGATGTCGCATCCTCAGGTTTCACAGCTCACATCCTCACGACCTTGGTAGTGAGTTATCCACATCTTCTGGCCTTTCATAGTGGTCATAGTTCCTCTTGTTCTATTACTGAATTTATTTCATTTTTGTGAACCCTTGAAAGAAAAATAAAAGCTTGGATTTTAATCTGTTGCCTTCATAATAAAGGCAGTAACAACTTTGTATATGAAAATATCTAGCATATTTGGGTCTAAAACTGTTAGTAATTTTTCAGATCAAATGGCCTTTCCTTGGGGCTTATTCTGACAGTACCACAGCATTAGTCCCTCATCATACCATCTTTCTTGAATTTTTGCCTTTTTTGTCCTCTATGATGATATTCAGTATTTTATTTCTACATTATTGATTGTTTCTTCTGTTTTCTTAACTGATTCTTCCTCTGGCCTGTGCTATGCACCTGCAGGCCGAGTTCTTTGATCTTTTTATTCCAGGTCTTGGAGATTCATATAATCTCATTCTTCATCTATTATCTCTACCTGGACCATTCTCATATTTGTGTCCTCAGCCCTAACCTGCCCTAAAGATCCCTTTTGCAACTCCTTGTCTCCGATATTTATTGAATAACTTCATTTAGATTTCTTGCTTTCATTTCAAATCAGCATGCCCCAAGCTGATCATTTCCTAGAAAATGAGCCTCCTTGTTTCTGGTCGCATCTGCCAAGGGAATTCCTGAAATTTTTATCGACCGATTGACATATTCAGAAGGCTGTAGTGAGTACCTGCTGTGTCAGACATTGTGCTAGGGGCCTGTATCCCATAAGTCAACAAACCTCGTTCTTTTGTAGTGTCTCTCACATGTGAGTCCTTTCCAATTTGTCTGTGGTAGTTACTTCATGTTTGGATTTTTTTTAGTATCTCCTGCCTGGTGAACTCCTACTCATCCTTTAAGACCCAATTGAAAAGTCATTACCTCTGTGTTGTGGGTTGACCCCCCCAAAATATATATTTTAATCCTAACCACTGATACCTTTCAATGTGACCTTAATTGGAAATAAAGTCTTTGCAGATGCAATCAAATTAAGACAAGATCACACTGGATTAGGGTGGGCGCGAACCCAATGACTGATGTCTTTATAAGAAGAGGGAAATTTGAACACAGAGGCACAGAGGGAAGAAGGCCTAGTGATGTTGAAGCCGAGATTGGAGTGATACAGCCGCAGGCAAAGGAACTCCGAGGATTACCATGCCAGCAACCACCAGAACCTACTAGAGAGGCATGGACCAGATTCTGCCTGAGAGCCTCTAGAAGGAACCACCCCTGCTACACCTTGACTTCTGACTTGTGACCTCCAGGACTGTGAAAGAAGAAATTTCTGTTATTCTAAACCACCCAATTCATGGTAATTTGTTACAGCAGCCCTAGCAAACGAAAACACTCTGAGACCACATATAATCTCCCTGGAGTTAATCACTTCTTTCTTGGTTCCATAACAGTCAGTGCTTATTTCTGTCATAACTGTTTTCTTTTAGGTTTTTCCTTATTTCCCTGTGGGCTTGTTGAGGGTTGGAGTGTAGTGGAAGAGTCATAGTCATCTTTGGGTACCTTTTATACTCCTTGGCACAGAGTAACTACTCAGAAAGTGTCTAATGAATGAAAGAAATGATGGCTTTGCATCTAACCAGTAATAATTACAGTTGCCATTTATTGAGCACTCCCTGTGTAGCAGGCATTGTGTCAGTGCTGTACATACTATGTGCTGACAACTATGTTCTGACACCAGTTGGGTGTGCTACAGTTCAATCCAATTCTAACACTAACTACTGGAGTTAGCACAGACCCCACAAGTTAAGGGCAAAGTCCTCCATTTCTGACACTAACTTTCCAGTTAATGCAGACCCTGCAAGTTCAGGGCTCACTTCCACCAGACTGCTCCCACTTCAGATGCTGGCTGCAAGTCGCAGGTATCCCCAAGCTACTTATACTTCTGCCTACTTGACTACAAATTTAGAGTTTCCCATGACCCCACCCCCAAATTTGATAATTTTCTAAAATGACCTACAGAACTCAGGAAAGTGCTATATTTATGATGACCATTTTATTGTAAAGGACACAAGTGAACAGCAAGGTGAAGAGATAAACAGCACGCATGGTGAGGTCTAGAAGGGTCCTGAGCTTCCGTGCCTTCTCCAGGTGCGCCATCCTCCCAGCACATTGATGTGTTCACCAACCAGGGAGCTCCTCGAGCCTCATTGTTTCCGAGTTTTTATCTGGGGTTTCATTACATAAGCACAATTGATTAAGTCATTGGCCACTTGATTGAACTCAGTCTCTAGGAGATGTGGCTGACAGTTCCAAGCCTCTAATCGCGTACTTGGTCTTTCTGGCATGGCCAGGCCCTTCCTTGTAACTATCTCAGGGCCCACTATAAGTCACCTCATGAATTAGCATAAATTCAAATACGGAGGAAAGGGGCTCATTATGAATAACAAAAGACACTCCTATCATTCCAGAAATTCCAAGGCTTTTTTAAAGCTCTGTGCCAGGAACTGGGGACAAAGACCAAATATATTGTTTATTATACCACACATGTTATCACATGAGGACTCCTTGAGGCAGGTATTGGTGCAGCCTGCATTTCACAGACGAGGAAACTGAGGCTTAACCTCAAAACTGTGCTGCCTTTCCAGCTCAGCTTTCTCCCAATTCTTTTTATTTCCAAATTAATCTACATTAAACAGAGTTTTCACCACATGACTTCCTCAGAACCTCTTCAGTGGCTCTCCATTACATAAAAAGTCCTGCCATTCAAGGATAACATCTATTTCATGGTGGTTGTGTTCGTTCCTACCTCTGCCCGTTTTCCTGCCCCCTTCTAATATTCTCTCCATTCCTCCATAGCTGTCAGATCCACCTGTCCTTTTAGGTTCAGGGAGGGAGTGATAGCAGAGTACTTACCACCACAGAGGTAAGCGCTTTACAGATGTTGTCTCATTTAATACTTCAACAACCCCGCAGGTTAGGTATTCTAATTCGTAGTATAATTCTAATTTTTAGGTGTTCTAATTATCTCGTAGGCCTGGAGATATTAGTTTAGGTGCTCGAAAGTTAGTGAGTGACTGAGCTAGGATTCAGAGTCAAATTTATTTAGCTCTAAAAGCCTATGGGGGACTGGAATTGGCCACCCCAAGATATGTCTCTTTGGCATGAGGATTATTTTGGGCTGGTTACTTTTAAAAACTGCAGACAGGAAAGAAACTCTGAAAAGTAGAATTTACTTACCCTTTGTTAAGAGACATTTACATGTGTAAAGGAAATCTCCATCTGTAAAGGTGTCTCACTCTCTGTACCAGGAAGAAGGAAGGATGACCTTATCTCTAGAAACTGTCATCAATGTGGAATGCAAGGACTCAAGTCTGCTTAATAACCTGACCCTTGTTTACTGTACTTGTGTGGTAATCTCCCATAGCTGACTCCCCCAACCCCCAACATCCTCCTTTGTCTTTAGCTGAGGGTGGTATTTAAGGTGAGAACTGCCGCCATTTTGGTCAGTTGCTCAGTTTGCCTGAGCTTCTCCCATGTATACATGTTATAAAGCTTTGTTTAATTTTCTCCTGTTATTCTGTCTCTTGTGAATTTAATTCATTTTCCAGCCACAAGGACCCAGAGTGGGTACAGGAAATGTCTATAAGCCCATGCTGTTTTTCTGTAATCCATGAGATTTACAAACCTCCACTGTTCTGACCCCTAAAGCTGAGTTGTAGATAAAACTTCAAAATAAGAAATTTTAAAAAGATGGTAGTAGTTAAGTCTCCACTGCTTTAAATGTCAAATGCAGGTTATTATCTAAAAGCCAAAAAGAAAATTATATGCTTTCTAGTCAATCCAGGAATAGAACAGAATTATAGTCTGAGAATAATCTAGAAGAGATTTTAGCCTGGAGTTGGTAGAACAAACATATTAGATAAAAAGAAGAAAGAAAGATGAAGAAATGGGTATAAGAAAGAGGAAAGATGCAAATAGGTCTTTAAAACCACTAAAAATCCTTTTAGATCAATGACTTTATTTACAAAGCACTTTCCTTGAAATTTCAGCTGTAAAGAAATAGCGGATACTGAGTTATTGGGTTCCATATCTGTAAGTAAATGCTTATTGTGATACCTTTCTTATCTAAACTGAGAGGGAGAAAATAATATTTTTTTCACTTTTTAAAAAACAATTTAAACAATTTAAGTATAATACACAGAACAGGACATAAACCCTAAGTATAAACAGCTTGCTATGTTATCACGAAGTGAACATACGTAATCAGCTGGGAAATAGAACATTACCAGGATCCCCAAGTCTTTCTAAGTGCCTCCTCCCAGTTATTATCCTCCCCAGAGGTAAGGCATTTCCTGACGTCTAAGTCCACGGAGAGATTTTGCTTTTCAACTTTACATGGAATCGCACAGCATATATTCTTTGTATCTGGTTTCTTTTGCTCAGCATTATGTTTGTGAGGTTTGTTCCTATTGTGCACAGTAGTAATTTGTTCATTTTCATTGTAGAAAGTATGCAATTATATGAATATACCACAATTTATTTATCCATTTTCCCAATAGTGGGCATTTGGCTTGTTTCTAGTTTTTGGTTATTATGAATAATGCTGCCATGTGTATTGTTGGACGTTTTTTATAAACATGTGCATGCATTTCTGTTGGGTATATACTCTACCTAGGAGTGGGATTGCTGAGTCATAGAACTTGTTGTGTATGTTCAGCTTTGGTAGATTCTGCTAAACAATTTTCCAAAGGGCTGGCTCCATTTACACTCCCTCTAGCATAGCCAGCTACATAATATATGGAGCTCAGTGCAAAATAAAAATGTGGGGGCTTTATTCAAAAAAAGCAGGAAAAAGTCCCACTAAAAGTACTAAAATATAAAGATTTTTCATTTCTTAGAGAGTCTCTTGACTTCCTATGATTTTTTTACTTGGTATTTAATGTCATTTTAAGTAAAGAAAAAATATTTAAAAATATTAAAACATTTTACCATTCATCTTTATGTTGTGCAATGCCAGCTTTAAATGCTAACTCACCAAATTACACAATTTGTATTTCCTAGCTCGTATATGCATATGTATTTCATTCTTACTAGAACTATGGAAAAGCTGCCCAAAACTAACTCAAATATTTTTATTTCACTTCTTGATGCATGCACATTCTACCAACACTCTACCTTCAGCTTACTGATAAGGATGGACTGAAAGGAAAAGAAACTACAGTTGCCCTCTTTCCCCTTCCTTCTGTATCTTCGTTTTTAGTGTAAGTTGTTGGGTAACACTGGGAAGTACACAAGTCAAAAAGGATATGATAGGATTCCTTGGTAATTCTTGTTTCTTAGAACATCATTGCCTTCTTTCTGCATTCAAAGTAACTTCTGATTTGTAAGGAAAGCTTGGTCTCTTGGGGCTGTCTGCACCCTACCTCCTCCTCCCTTTGCTAAGTCGTAGATGTAACACACTTATCTTGTACTGGTTTTGAGTCTAGCCTAACTCCCGTGCACTGTAGGTCCAATAGAATTCTCTGCTCATGGGGCATCGTGAATGCTGAATGCTGGTGGTTGGCAAGGAAGAGTGAACACTCCTATATTGTGTGTACCTCTTCTGTTCATGCTCATGTGCTATTGTGCTTTCACTTATAAAACATAAGTTCAAAGGCAACATCATTAAGAATTTCAAAATGGTGACAACTGACCATTAAACCAGGTACAAGGTCCATCTGAGAGCAGGGCCCTTTGCATAGCTGCCTTTGCAGGGCATTTGCACAGGTTGCATGCCTGTGGTGCCAGTTCTAGTTTAAGAGTTCCAATTAATCTACAACCTTTTCAATACGTGGTATTATCAACTTCTTAATTTGAGCCATTTGGTGGGTGTGTAGGGATATCTCACTGTGCCATTTATTTGCATTTCTCTTATCATTAATGAGGGTTAGGATCTTTTTAATATATTTATTAGGCATTTGGCTTGTGTGTGTGTTATGTGTGTGTTTGATGCCTGTTTGAGTCTTTTCTCCATTTTTCTATCGGCTCCGTCTTTTTTTTTCTTTCTTTGTAACAATTGTTTTTATATTCTGGAAAGGAGCATTATGTAATAATATGTGTAGCAAGTATCTTCCTCCATTTTATGACTTGCTTTTCACTCTCTTATAGTATATTTTGATGACTAGAAGTTCCTAATTTTAATATTGTTTAATTTATCAATCTTTTCCTTTGAGGTTAACTGCTGGTTTGTATCTGGTTTCAGAAATCTTTGCTTTCCTTCAAATCATAAAGATGCTCTCCCATATCATCATCTTGAGTTTTATTGTTTTGTCTTTCACATTTAGATCCACCTGGAATTTATATTTTGTAACTGGCAAGAGGTGGGGGATCAAACTTTGCTAATGCTGCTTTTGGTCAATAAAAAGATGGGTTCCCAGTTCAACTCCAGTTATTCCTATATAATAAATCCCATTATTATGATTTCATATTAAAATGAATAATATGCTTGTAAAATGTAAAAATCATAAGAGGTAAGGTTTTTTGCTCTTTAGGAAGTGAAGTTAGTTCTTTTGACAAAAGCTGCCACTAACATCAAGGATTTAGCTTCAGAACAGACAGTTCCACAGCTATTCTGAGTTCCACATAGTACATCTTTTGAGTGTTATGGTTAAAGTGGGGACTGGGAAAATGCAGGTGGGTTGAAGTAAACTTATCAAAAAAATCCCAAGGGACCCTGGGATGATATTACTCTGGGTATATCTACACCTCATCTTTGTATTGGAATGACAGCAATACCATGAATATTCACTCTGATTCATCGTATTTGCCACGGTCATTTCTTTTAGATTAATACAATATTCCCTCTTCCCTGCCTTTGATCATGACACTCTCCAATGTTTTCTACATTTGGCACACAGTGGTCTGGCTGTTGTATATCTACCCATCCTCATGCTTTGACATCTGTACGCTACTCCGACTGAGCTTTGCCTCCTCCCCGACCCCTGGTGGAGGTTGGTCCCTTGAGAACCTGCTTACATCACTCTACTCTTCTCTCATTGGCTCCTACTTGTCTTCTAGAAGTAAGCATTGTCTCATTCAGAAGGGCTGCTTTAAAGAAAGAGCTCAATTTTTGGATCATTATTATTATTAAAAATAATAAAATTAAGTGTCTTCCTAGTGCTTATTGAATGAGATGGGTATTTGTTGAGCGGGACTTCGAGTTGGTCACTTTTAGCAACTCCCCAGGTGTGACAGATGACACGACTGGAGCCATATTATAGTAGGGCCAGGGCAGCTCTATTCCAAGGAATTGCCTTGCACGGCTTGTCTTCTTTATCTTCCAAACTGGACCAAACCCTCAACATTCCAAGAAATCAGCAAAGACAAGAATATCTTGTTTGTAAGAACTGATGGCACTGGCCTTTGCTGATGACCAGATTGCTAACCAATCAACGAAGCACAAGTCTAGCCTTTTGCCTGATGATGGAATCTCAGGCCAATCAACGAAGTACAAACCCAGCCTTATCTCATCAGCACCAATGAACTCCTCCTTAACACAACTCACCTCATCCTCCTTTTCCCCTACAGAACCCCAGGCCCCTCTCCTGTAACTGGGACGCTATGTCCCAGTTTCCACCTGAATCTGTGCTCTCGGAATTGCAATTCTTTGATCCCAAATAAACCCTTTGCCTCTTCAACTGGCTTCTGTTTTTGTAGGTGGACACAGGTCAGAGGATTTCGAAACCTTGTCGAGGAAAATCTGAGAAAAGTTTCACTTCAGATGCGACCTCGAATGTAATTTTTCTTCCTCCCACCCCAACTGGAAGCAAGCAATCTTTTTCTCAGCCTAACTGGATTGTCCAGGCGACATCACATCGATTAGCTTGGGCTTCGCTCCGCCCCGGCGCTCCGCTGCTTCGGGCTGGAGCGCGGCATCCCGGAAGTGGGCTGAAGGCCTTTAGGCGTCGGCGTCGTCGACCTGGAGCAGCGGGCCGCCTGGGAGTCCCACTGCCGACATGGCCCCCCAAGACGCGCGCTACCCCTGCTCCTCCATCGAGGACGACTTCAACTATGGCAGCTGCGTGGCCTCGGCCAGCGTGCACATCCGCATGGGTAGGTGGCGGCTCCCCGGCGCCCGTCGCCCCTCGCGGCCCTGCTGCGCAGTCGGCCCGGGGAGGCGGATTTCCGGGTTCTCGCGCCCGCGCGCCCCGGCCCGCTCGGAGGGCGAGCGGGGTGCGGGGGTTCCGGGGCAGAGCCCTTCCGGCCTCCGCTGCCCGCGGGGCTCCGGGGACGCAGGCTCTGCCGGAGCGGCGCCCCGAGGGCGGGGGTCCCCCAGCCGGGCGCCCGAACGGCAGCCTCCCGCTGGAACCCTGTCTTCTTCGGTTACACGGCCACCCCGGAGAACCTCGGCCGCCTTCGCTTGGCAGCTTTCAGTTAAAAGAAACTAGGGGTTGCTTTTTCGGTGAAAATAGGTTTATTGGGCCACCGTGGTGACGTCCGCCCGAATGTCGGCGTCCCCGCTGCGTGGCTTCGGTTTCGGTTTGGGGACCGCCTGTCTCGGGTCTGTCTGCGTGTCCTTGCGGGACTGTAGGACGGTGGGCGCGGGGGCCTGTGTCCCCCGCGGGGCCTGGAAGGCAGCGTGTCCGAGCGTTCCCGGGGCGCCGCGGGCCTCCCAGGTGGATCAGGATGCCTGCTTGGTTTCAAGTTGCTGTGCAACCTCCAGTGGGCAGAAGTTATTATGAATTTGAAATGCCCAGCTTCCCGTAGGGGGGATTCATCATCCGCTCTGGTTCAGCCAGTGGGTCACAGAAGCGTCCCCCGGTGTTCTTCCTGTCTGGGCACCTGGAACTTGTTCTGGAAAAGGAGCTGTGAAGCTCTGATAAACTAGTGATCTCTATCCCTACCATCTCTATTTCTGGAATCGAATTTTGGGATTATTTTGGCAAGTGAGCTCAGTTTTTTTAATTAAAAATTTTGATTTTTGGTGAGATACAGATAGCGTGAAGAATGTGCCACTGGAACTGTTTTTGAGTGTACAGCTCAGTCGTGTTAAGTGTATTCGCGTTGTTGTGCAACCGCCCTCCAGAACTTGTCCTTCTACAAGACTGAAACTGCATCCATCGAACAGCTCTTCATTTTTCGCCTCCCCCCAGCCCCTGGCAACTGCCGTTCTGGTTTCTGTTTTGTGAATTTGGCCACTCTGGATGCCTTGTATAAGTGGAATCGTACAGTATTTGTCTTTTTGAGGCTGACTTTTTTCCATTAGCGTGTTTTCAGAGTGCATCTGTTATGTAGCATGTATCAAAATTTTCCTCCATTTTAGGGCTGGATAATATTCCATTGTAGGTATAGACCACATTTTGTTTTATCTATTCATCTATTGGTGGACGCTTCAGTTGCTTCCACCTCCTTGTGAATAATGCTGCTATAAACATAGGTGTACAGGCATCTCTTCGTGACTCTGCTTTCAGCTTTTTTGGATCTATACCCAAAAGTGGAATTGCTAGATCATGTGTGTTTTAGTGAGAAACCTCATTTTTCCTCTCCTGAGTAGTTCTTCCTCCTGTGTTTGTCCTGTGCTACTTACACAGAACGCAACTTCTGAAACTTCTGGTCACCAAAAGCATGGGGGTGTTTCCCCACACCAAGCAATTCTCCACACCACCAGCTGGGTGTCCTGCAATTTGACTCAATTCTGACACGATCTAGTATGAGATGGTGTCAGATCCCACAAGTTAAGGGCTCAGTCCCACAAGACTGCCCCCCTCCACTTGAGGTTGGAGTTGCAAGTAGCAGGTCCCCAGGTTCCCCACAGCTTCTGTCAGACTGGGCTACAAATTGGAGGTTCCCAGAACCCCCTTATTAGGTTTGATTAATTTGCTAGAGTGACTCACAGAACTCGGGGAGACACTTACATTGACCAGTTTATTAAAGGATGTGATACAGGCTGCAGACGAACAGCCAGATGAGGAGATAAACAGGATGAGGGCTCAGAGGGTCCCAAGCCTGTTGTATTGGGGTGCATCACTCTCCCAGTATGTGGATGTGTTCCCCAACCTGGGAGCTCCGCAAAGCCTGTACTGTTGGGATTTATGGAGGCTTCCTCATATAGGCATCGTCAATTATCAACTCCATTTCTAGCCTCTCTCCCTTCTCAAGAGAATGGGAGGCAGGGCTGAAAATCCCGAGCTTCGAATCATGGTGAGGTCTTCCAGCCTTCATGCAGGAGGCCACCTAGAGTCACCTCATTAGAACAAAAGACACTCCTATGGCTCAGGAAATTACAAGGGTTTCAGGAGCTCTGTGCCAGGAACTGGGGACAGAGACCAGGGTATATTTTCTGTTATCTCACAATGTGGTAATTGTGTTTGTAATTTTTTTGAGGAACCAGCATACTGTTTTACGTAATGGCTGCACCATTTTATATTCACACCAACCTTACACAAGAGTCCCAGTTTCTTACATCATCACCAATGCTTGTTTTTTCCCTGGAAGTTGCCATCCAAATGAGTGTGAAGTAATATCTTATGGTGGTTTTGATTTGCATTCCCTAATAATTAGTGACCTTGGGCATGCTTTCATATACTTATGGGCCATTTGTAGATCTTTGGAGAAATGTTATTCAAGTACTTTGCCCATTTTTTAAAATGGACTATTTTTTAAAGCAGTTTTAGGCTCACAGCAAACTGAGTGGAAAGTACAGAGAGTTCCCATATAGCTCTGCCCCTACACACACAGCCTCCCCTACTATCAACATGGTGCACCAGAGTGGGACATTTGTTACAATCCATGATCCTAAATTGACACCTCATTATCACCCAAAGTCCATAGTTTATATTAGCTTTCATTTCCTGGTATTGTACATTCTATGCGTTTTGACAAATGTATGATGACAGATCCACCATTATAACATCATACAGAATAGTTTCAGTGCCTTAAAAATCCTCTGTGCTCCACCTCTTCATCTCTCCCTCCCACCAACCCCTGGCAGCCACTGATCTTTTTACTGTCTCCGAGTTTTGCCTTTTCCAGAGTGTCATATAGTTGGAATGATACAGTATGTAGCCTTTTCAGATTGACTCCTTTCACATAGTAATATGCATTTAACATTCTTTGTGATGCTATTGTAAGTGGAGTTTTTTCTTAATTTCCTTTTCCTTTCCAGCTTGCTCATTGTTAGCGTATAAAAATTCAACTGAGTTTTGCATGTTGGTTTTGTATCTTGCAACTTTGTTGAATTCATTTATTAGTTCTAACAGCTTATGAAATCTCTAGGGTTTCTACATGTAAGATCATGTGCATGAACAGAGGTAATTGTGCTTCTTTCTTTCCAGTTTGGATGCCTCTTACTACTTTTTCTTGCCCAGTTACTCTGCCTGGGACTTTTCTGTTGAACAGAAGTGGCAAAAGCAGGCAATCCTGTCTTGTTCCTGATCTTAGAGGAAAAGCTTTCAGGTTTTTACTGTTGACTATGATGTTAGCTGTGGGGTTGTCATATATGGCTTTTGTTATGTTGAGTTAGTTTCCTTCTCTTCCTATCTTATTGAGTCTTTTTATCCTGAACAGTTGTTGAATTCTGGCAAATGCTTTTTCTGCATCAAGTGAGATGATCATGTGTTCTTTTCCCCCCATCACTCTGTTAAAATGGTGTGTTACATTGATTGATTTTTGTGTGTTGAACTATCCTTGCATTCCAGGAATAAATCCCACTTGGTTGCTAATTCTTTTAATCTGCTGTTGAATTCTGCCTGCTAGTCTTTTTGCTGAGGATTTTTGCGTCAGTATTGATCAACGATATTGATCTGTAGTTTTCTTTTCTCGTGGTGTCTTTGGCTTTGGTATTGGAGTAACGCTGGTTCGTAGAATGAGTTTGGAAGTATTCCCTCTTCTTTGGTTTTTTATAAGAGTTTGAGGAGGATTGGTGTTAAAGCTCAGCTTTTTATTATATGTTTTTTAAACCAGTGAGGCATTCTCAGATTACATCCATCTACAGCATGGACAGTGATGATGTGATGTGTTAACGTAATTGAGAACTGGTGCTGCAAGTACTGGGGGTGGTTTAGAACTCCTGGCTGTCTCGTGGCTGTCAGATGAGAAGGAAGTTCTCTGCTGATCCCAGAAGTGATAAAGAAAGAGAATGAGTCCCTTCAGGGAGGGGCAGGGAGAGAAAATGGCAGCCACTGCAGGACATTAAGTTTCTGTGGAGATGGTATTGGGTGTGTGAAAAGAAGGCATTTATTAGAGAGATCTTGAGTCAGGGTACTGCCATTAAGGAAACATTTGGATCATTAATATACATTTAATGAAAAAAATGCTTTATTTTTAAAGCCATCCCTTTTTACTGCATGTAAAGGTAGTGAGAAATAAAGTTTTGGAAGTCACAGTTGCTGTCCTTAAGGCATTAGTTAGGTTGGCCAGTAGCCAAACTAATCTGTGATAGCAGGTCGATTAAATCCTCAAGTGCCAGGTCTAGAGGGAGTGTAGGGAGGGAAGTGAGAGTGTGTGAACTGGGATAATCTAGGAAAGCTTCACGGAGGAAGCGGAATCCCAGTGGAGAGCTGGGTTTGGACATGTGAGTGCTAAACAAATTTTGTAATAACAACATTATAATTTTCCTTGGAATTACAGTCCCTAACATAATATATACATATGTTTTTCAGAAAACCTAAGTTTCAAAACACTTATCTAAAACAGCACAGTTGTTTGCAGTGAGGCTGGGGGGGCCTAGAAACCAGGCTTCATAATCCCCAGATGAGTGCTCTGTCCACCTGTCTTGGATATAGTTCCTTAAGAACAGCTCCTATGAGTTCATTTCCTCTTGAAGACTCTGGAACTAAAGAGACAAATTATCTGTACCTATACATCCAATGTTAGGACAGGCATAATTTGGTGGGTATTTTTGCCAATAAAATTCTTCAGAAAGCTTTGTGGGTCTCCTGTGATTCGGTACATAGTTGTGTATTTTTAGTTGGGGGTCTTTCTAGTTGTGGCATGTGGGACGCTGCCTCAGCGTGACCTGATGAGCCGTGCCATGTCTGCGCCCGGGATTCGAACTGACGAGACCCTGGGCCGCTGAAGCAGAGTGCACGAACTTAACCACTAGGCCCAGGGCCGGCCCCTCCCATGATTCTTATTAGCTAAAAGCCACACCCGAAAATATCTTAGAGTGAGTTTGGCTGAGACTGCTGAGGGACAATCCTCAAGCTTCCCAGAAGCCCTATTGTTTAAATGGTTTTTCTGAGGTACAATGTTGGATATTTGTGAGGTTTTAACAAAGGGTTTTAAAATCGCATCCTCTGTCTCTCCTCTTGCATTTTGGTATAAGCAGCAAGAAGCCAGCAAGCACCTTCAGTGCTTTGTTTGGAAGTCACCTTAGTTTGATCACCCACTTCATTAGGCACATTTTTCTACTTTCCGTGTTCCCACAGGTGACAGTGTTGCTACATTTTTTGTCGGTTCATAACAGGGATTCTCTTCCCTGCAGTTTCGTAAGGTTTTCCTCACTTTCCTTTCAGCCCTGACCCGCAGCCTCCTCAAAGGCGTCATCCTTCTACAAACAGTTTCTTTAAGGCTTTTTGAGCTTTCACCTCAAGGAACTGCCAACTTCTACTCACTGAGTGATTCCAAAACTCTTGCATATTTTAGGTTTTTGGTATGGCAGCACCCCACTTCCACATACCAAAAGCTCTGTTAGTTCTCTGTGTGTTAGCAAATCACCACAAAACTTAGTGGCTTGAGTAAACATTTATCATCGGTTTGTAAGAGTCAGGTGTCTGAGTGATTCCAGTTCAGGGTTTGTCATTGGCTGTGGTCAAGATGTTGGCTGGGGCTGTGGTCATCGGAAGGCCTGACCGGTGCTGAAGGACGTGCGTCCGAGAAGGCTCACTCATCACGAGTAGCAGAAGGCCTCAGTTGCTCCCTGGCTGTCGCCACGACGTGGATCTTTCCATGGGGCTCCTGGCAGCGGCTTCTCCTGAAGCTGTCATTCTCAGTGGGGACAGTTTTGCCTCCAAGGGAGTGAAAATTGGCTCTTGAGGTAGAAGGCAGAAGAATCTCAGATACCGCAGTGGTTCGCAGCCTTCCAGAGAGCGGCCGTACATAACCAGATGGACGGTATGTCTGTGGCATTAAAGTTTGATTGAGAGGCTGTTAGGAAAGCAAGGTCCAGAAGGCTCTCCCTAGGTGGGCAGTGATGGAACAAAGCGTGAGGACTGCCTGCTGCGAGTGAGCTAAGAAGGAGCAGGTAGGTGCCCTGTTGCCTTTTGTGGTTGTCGAGGTATAATTGACAGGCATTGCCTCTTGTGACTCAGTCTCAGAAATAACACACACTGTGACTTCTGTCTTATTTTTTTGGTTAGAATTGAGTCACTTGAAGGGAGTGTCAGAGCATGTGGACGTATTTTAAACCGCCATTCCGTGTGAAGAAAGTGAAGGGCGTTCCAGGCAGAGGAGGCAGGAAGGGCAGAGGCCCCGAAGCAGGAAGGACTGGGCGTGGTTGGGGAACCGAGAGGCAGCCACTGTGGGGGAACAGAGTGAGGAAGAGGAGCAGTGGCTTGAGAGGAGGTTGGAAAGGTTCCGTACCACGCAGGGCCTTGGAGGCCCCGTAACAGCTTTTAAATTTTATTCTAAGTATAAGGGAAGCCATTAAAAGAATGCAAGCAGAAAGTCACGTGATATGGTTCCTTTATGAAAAGATCACTGACAGCTGTGTGGAGAGTGGATTGGGACAGTAGGTGGCACACAAGTGAGAGCAAGGAGACCAGTAGAAGGCTGCTCCCGTCCAGGCCAGAGATCATACCGACCTTGACTAGGGGGGTGGCCGAGGAGCCCAAGGAGGTGCACGCGCTCTGCGTGGCAGGTGGAAGCTGCAGTAGTTGCTGCTGGAGGGGAGAAGGGCAGGGAACCGGAGAGCACTCCGAGGGTTTTGGCTTGGGGCTGTTGGTGCTGGTTACTGATGAGAAGGCTGCACAGATGTGGGTAGAAATGAAGAGTTCCTGTTTTGGCCACGTTAAGTTTAAGTGGAAAGGGGAGAAATAGAAATAGAAAGGGGAAAGGTAGAAGGGGAGAAACCAGGATTCCAAAAAAATGGAAAGATATTACTGTTTGGCTTATGTTCTTTTCGTATCGGATCTTTTATTTTTCCCTGTGAGTATATCCTTTGCCACTTTTTATATTAGTTATTCAAAATGGGTGTCAAGTGTTGCTTTTTCTTGGGTTTTGGTTTAAGGTCCCATTTTTAAAGAGTATAGGAAAGTTGTGATCTAGAATATCTGTGTAAGGATTATTTTTGTGATGAATCTATTGGCTTAGCCAGGTTTCTTTAAAATTTTTTCTGTTATAAAAGTAGTGTTTATTGGTGATATATAAAAAACACAGATTAGCAAAGAACTGAACATGAAACTCATCCTCAGTCATACTGCATGGAGAAAACCATTGTTGACACCTTGGTGTATGTCTGTTCTTCCAGTCTTTTTTCATGTACGCACTGGGGCATACATGCGTATACAAATAAACATTAAACACGTGTTTTGAACTGTAGGACACTTCTGTGAAATGATAAGGATTAACGTTAACTTTCACTCTTGAGAATATATATTAAATGGAATAGATTTGAGTTACATGAGGTATGTAATAGTGTATCAAAAGTAAACAATATGAGTTTTTTGCAGTCCAGAAAATCCCTTGGGGGAATACGGTTTGACCTTTGGTTTAGGAATTAGATTCACAGAAAGATAGCCCAAAGAAGAGTGCCCATGGCAGTAATATATTCTTTTGTCTGCTTTTGCGGAAAAAGTGGACATGACCTCCCAAAGCATGCAGACATCAGGGCCTTTCTTTCTTTCTTTCTTTTTTTGGTGAGGAAGAGTGGCCCTGAGCTAACATCTCTGCCAGTCTTCCTCTACTTTGTATGTGGGACGCCTGTCACAGCATAGCTTGATGAGCGGTGTGTAGGTCTGTGCCTGGGATCTGAACCCACGAGTCCCAGGCCACTGAAGCGGAGTGTGCAAACTTAACTACTGAGCCACCGGGCTGGCCCCATCAGGGCCTTTTAAGAAAGTAAGTTGTAGATCTGTTGTGGAGATTAGCACGGTTTATCTCCTTTTTGTTCCAGATGTATTCCTACACCTAGGCCAAAATACAGCTGATACTCACTGTTACGTGAGTCATTGGTTAATTAAACTGTGTGTTGAGGAAAACCTGTTTAAGACATTAGGAAAACCTCACTGTATATTTTGGAAAGGGTGCCAGAGGAAACATTGATTAAGATTTAATTTGGGGGATTAAGTCTTTAGTGTTTATGAAGATCCTCTTACTCTTGTAAAATATTTCTTTGTTACTTGGTATTTGGCTGACATGCCATCAGAGCACTTGCTCCTTCCTTGGGAAGCCAGGTCCTCAGTAGGCCTGGTCTCAGAAGGAACATTTGTCATCAGATGTTGCCGTGAGAGGCAGGAGACAACCTCACATCTTCCTCTGCTGGGCACCTGCCTGAGCACAGCGCTCTACAGAAGTTATGTGGCTCCATTGTTGCTTCAGAATCATACCTTTTCTCTCCCGGACTGGCAAAATACACCTTTCATTAATTCAATATAAACTTATTTAAAAGTAAATAAGATTCAGTGAGTATTTATTCCGTGCCATCCACTTGGCTGGGTGCTGGGGTGGGAGAATGACTGAGACGTGCCCTGTTACAGGGAGCTTTTCAGTCTGCAGTCTCCTGGGAGTGAAGGACAAGTAGTTAATAGTTAGAGAGGAAAGCGACGTGGAGTGTGTTCAGGGTCCCTTGGGCAGACGAGGAGGAACATTTAATTCAGACTGGGGAGCTGAGAAAGGCTGAATCTCGAAGGACTGTTAGCAGTCGGCTAAGGGAGTGGGGAGGGTGGTGCTGGCATCGCGTATACATGGAGGAGGTGCGACTGTTGCTGTCTTCTTTCTGAAGCTGGTGTGAGCTGGGTGGCCACTGTATTACTTATATCATCTATGCATCAGAAGACTTTAATGAGTGTTATTTAATCATTAAGCCTTGGAGTCGACTTAGAGATGTTGATAATAAAATATTCTGAAAGGGAGAGTTTCTTATTGTATAAAAACCAGAGGCAGGGGGCCGGCCTCGTGGCCGAGTGGTTAAGTTCAGGCTCCGTTTCAGTGGTCCCGGGTTTCACCGGTTCGAATCCTGGGTGTGGACATGGCACTGCTCGTCAGGCCACGTTGAGGTGGCGTCCCACATGCCGCAACTAGAAGGACCCACAACTAAAAATACACAACTAGGTACAGGGGGGCTTTGGGAGAAAAAGGAAAAATAAAATCTTAAAAAAAAAAAAAACCAGAGGCAGAGGTACTAAAAATGAAAAGTAAAAATAGGTGAGAGAAAATAAATTTATATATTATTTGCCTTTTAAGGATGTTTCATTTTGGGGCAACATTTCTACTGCTTAGAAATTAAGATTTCTTTTTTCAATTTATATCCAGCCATAAGCTTTCTGTTCTTGCTTTTCAGTTTCAAGATAGATTTGTTCTTTAAAAATGTCCCATTTTGGGCTGGCCTGGTGGTGCAGCGGTTAAGTGCCTACGTTCCGCTTTGGTGGCCTGGGTTTCGCCAGTTCGGATTCAGGGTGCGTACATGGCACCGCTTGGCAAGCCATGCAGTGGTAGGCATCCCACGTATAAAGTAGAGGAAGATGGGCGCGGATGTTAGCTCAGGGCCAGTCTTCCTCAGCAAAAAGAGGAGGATTAGCAGCAGTTAGCTCAGGGCTAATCTTCCGGGAAAAAAAGTCACAGTTTTAAACTTTTGCTTTGTTGTATGCTGCTGTGTACAAATAAGCATTTAATATTTTCATTTTATTTTGATGAAAACATTTGCCTTCCACCCCATTAACAGTTTTTTTTATGCTCATACTTTTGGGAGGGTAGTTATCACTTAGAATTTTTTATTCCTTTAGAAGTGTTTTCTTTTTTTTTTTTTAGTTTTAGTTACAGATTATGTGAATTAAGAATTAAAATGTAGAAAGAATACATATAAAAATGTAATGTTTCTAAGAAGAAATTTGATCTCGCTGTTCTATGATAAATGCTTAAGAAAATAGTCACGTGTCATTGTTTTCTCTTTCAGCCTTTCTAAGAAAGGTCTACACCATCCTTTCTCTGCAAGTTCTCCTAACTACAGTGACGTCTGCACTTTTCTTGTACTTTGAATCTATACGGACATTTGTACATGAAAGGTAAGGTAATGCAATGATTCTGAATCATTTTCAGCCACTGCAGATGATCAAAAGGGCATACCATAAACAAAGTTCATTTTTTCTATTAACGTTTGAGGTTAGAATGTAAAAAAAGTTCATTATTAGCTTCTATAAATAAGGTTAGTTTTGTTTTGATAAGGAAACTGTACTACAACATGGTATTTACCTCTGCACTGTATAGCTTACGGTTTCATTGGGCTAAATCCTCATCTCCTGGAGTAGCATTAAGGATTTTTACTTTATGCGGGTTTTTTTGTCTTATTTTTTTGCTTTTATTAGACTTATGCCCTGTCCCCAAAGCCTAAGACAGTGCTTGAAAAATAAAGGTGCTTAGAAAATGTGTGTTTAATTTATGTCAGTATTGGCTCCTAAGTAGGATAATTTCACCCAGGAGTTTTCAGAGGAGCCCCGTATGATTCAGCCCTAATTTGTTTAAGATCTCACCTCCAGAGTGATGATTTCCATGGCTAGAAGTGGTGTAGATTCTTTATATTGAAGGAAAGGAGAAATAAAGACTGAATACTTTCTTAGAAGGAGACAATTTCTGTCCTCCTTCCCCTCTGAAAGGGGGGCTTCACTCTCTTAGTTTCCTATTTGGGGTGAAGTTCTTTAAATTACAGCTATGTAGTAAATACCCTAAAAAAGTAGTTAGGTATAAAATTTATTATTTAATAACTTTTCTTTATTGTGTTTTAGTTAAAAAAAAACAGTATGCTAATTGCAAAAATTCCTCAAATATGCTAGAAGTTCATGCAGTAGAAGGAAAAGTCTACCCCTCACTGGGGGCTCTTTTCTTTCTGCTGCTCCTCCCGCAGCACACTCCGCACCTTCCCAGATGGGAAAATAATTGCTTTTGACAGTTTGGTGTGAATCCTCCCAGATGTTTTTTCCTGTACTTTCACAAACACATAAAATAGACAGATTTTATTAAATTGGATAAAACTATCTATGCTATTTTTTATCTTGAAAATGCATTTAATTTTATGTCTTTCAGTCCTGTCTTAATTTTGGTGCTTTCCCTTGGATCCTTCGGTGTGCTTCTGGCATTGACTTTGCACAGACATAAGCATCCGCTTAACCTGTACCTGCTTTCCGGATTTGTGAGTACTTCACAGTATCTGTCCCTTTAACATTTATTCCTGAGTTTTAAATTTATTTCATTAAATGCATATACATATATAACAGTAGCAGAACAAAATTGAGTTTTTAAAAAACTCAAATATTTTAGGAAATTACTTGTAATTTTCTAGTCTTTTAGAATTTTTACCATCCATCAATTTCCTTGTTTTTCCTGTCAGTATTATGATATAGTGGAAAAATAATGAATTGGAATCACATAACGTGGCTTTGCCACTCTCTGATTATGTGACATTTGGCAGGGCATTTTACCTGTCTCTACCCAAGTTTTCTCACTTGTAAAAGGAAAATATTAAAGTAGATTATCCCTCTGATGTTTTTGACCCATAATGTTCTGTAATTTTCTTGGGAAAAAGGAGGTGGCCTTGATATTGTGGCCTTAATTTCATAGACCTTAACTTCAAATCTTTCTGATTAACTCTGTTATTTTTATCATATCACTCTGTTCTTTTAAAGGAGCACTTTGCTCTGTTGATATGCTCCACTAAGTTGTTTCAAAATCGTAGTTGGGACAACTCAGCCTTAAGTCATGTTTGTTGAGATATTAATGAAAGTTAAACGCAACTACTACCTAAAAATTCAGTCTTAGAATATGACCAGAGGAGTTGCTAAGGCTCAGGTTGCTTATTTGAAAAATTATTTTTCCTGTTCTCATATCTAATATGACTTTGGGTTCTGACCTCAACATTTACTTCAAAACATTGCAAACTAATATTAAGGATATTTATCGTCAAACAACAGTGAAAATCTCTTTATCAGATTAAAGTGCTTTCAACTAAAGGAAGTCTGTGAATTCTGATAGCAAGTTTATGTTAATAAGATGAAAGAAAAGCTCATGACTTTGGAGCTTCTAAGAAAGGTTATTCATTTAAATCTTAGGCTCTTTTGTTTGCCAGGGATCAATACCCTAACCCAAGTTATCTCAGGTAGCAGGGAGTTTATTTTAAGGTTACAGGAGCTTGGGCACCCACCAACCCAAACCCACCAGGCCTCAAGAAGAAAAGGAACTAGTGGAAGTTTCTAGAAATAATGCTGTTGTAGGGGGTTCAACAGCAAGCGTTTGGGGTCTTCTCTCCCTTCTTCCATTACATCTCTTCTCTACCATACATCTGTCCTTACACATAGTTTTTTCCTTTGCTGTCTTTGGTTTTTATATTGTCCATTGTGGGTCCTCATATGGTTAATTAACCTTTTAGCTTTAGCTCCTGCCGCCATTGCTTCATTCTCTGAGTTTAGATTCCTAAGTGAGAAAGAATCTGATTGGCACAGCTTATTATTGGCATGGGTCACATTGTAGATTGTTAGCCAGTATATGGGTTGGCAGCCTTTGGGTTAGATGCCAACTCCCGTCTCAGTCAGCTGTGTCCTAGGAGAGAGGGAGGAAGTACAAAAAGAAACAGCATCATAGAGTTCCTGTTCAGCTCTACATGGAGCCAGCCTCCTTTCAAAGACCGTGATTGATTTCTGTCTGGGAAAAGGGCATGGACCACCTTTGGTCCAGCAGAAAGAGGACTCACTGGAAAAGCATCACCCAAACGCTTAAGGGCAGGTGATCATTTAACTGCTGCAGCTGTTGAACATGTCCTTAGCTAGAATGGCCTAACAAATAAGGAAGCGTGTAAAATACACTTCAGATCTCAGAGACCTCTGATACTCGGTGATTTTGTCCTGCTCCCCCTAAATAGGAAAGGAGATGGATCTTATGTCGCCTTAGAAGGCGTGTGTCTGTGTGTGTATAGACACACATTTTAAAAGGGGCATTATTTGGGGGCAGTGGTGTGTTTTCCTAGTCCAGTCTTTTCTCCTGTTTACACTGTCCTGTTTCCTTCAGATACTTGAGTATGGGGTAGGATTTCTTACCTAAATCATGTCACAAATATCAAGAATGTAGTATAATGATAGTGCCCAGAAAAAATATTTCTGTCATCTTTTGCCACCGCTTCTCTGACCCTACCCAACAACGTTATAACAAAATGTGGCAGTGGCTTCATTGCCTCCACATTTGTATACAAGTTCTCATACCATTTTTGCTGTGGTTCTGATGGTTTCTTGATTTCGGGGAGGGGAGGGTCTGGGGAGTGCTGCTACTCGGACTGTGATTACACAGCCACTGTTCTTAATTTGGCTTTGCCTTTATGATCTGGTCTGTCAGATGGTTGATAAAATCTAACTAGAGTAAGCATATAAAACAAGAAAAGATATGTCACTAAAGGGGAAAGAACTAGAGGGTAAAGCTCAACATCCCTGAATCTTTCATTTAGGATAGGAGTTCAGCTACTTGTGGCATGACCTAAACAAGGACAAAATAACAGTGGCTTAAACAAGGTGGTTTACTTCTCATTTGTGTGACACTCGAATGACTGTGGGCCCAGGCACCTGGTTTGGTTCAGGCACTGCTCAAGTGCTGCACGGTGTAACGTAGCTCACCGCTGTGTCCACATTCTATCCTGTTATTTTTAAAAAATGAGAAGAGAGGGGCTGGCCCCGTGGTCGAGTGGTTAAGTTCGCGCGCTCCGCTGCAGGCGGCCCAGTGTTTCGTTAGTTCGAATCCTGGGCGCGGACATGGCACTGCTCATCAGACCACGCTGAGGCAGTGTCCCACATGCCACAACTAGAAGAACCCACAACGAAGAATACACAACTATGTACCGGGGGGCTTTGAGGAGAAAAAGGAAAAAATAAAATCTTTAAAAAAAAAAAAAAAAAAAATGAGAAGAGAAAGGGGAGAGCAAACCTTGTTGCTTTTAGAAGTTGCACACTTCTCTACTCACATGCAGTCAGCCAGAACAGAGTCCTGTGACCGGATCTAGCTGCAAGGGAGGCTTAAAAATGTAATGTTTAGTCTGTTTAATGTATCCAGGTAAAAATTCTGTTACTAGAGAAGAGAGAATGAATCTTAGGAGACAGTTTCAAGACTTTCCCACACCAAAGTACTACCTAAATATTCTATTCTTCTATGTTTGTTTGTGTGAGATATTGGGGTTTTTGTAAATGTGCACATGATTTGCAATTTTGCTTTTATTTGCATTACAGAGAGTGAGAAAAATAGAATTTTCTATGTTATTTCTATAATCTTCCTGTTACAGGTAGGAAAAGTCCAGTGAATTTAAGGAGTGATGGGATCACAATTAGAATCTAAATATTCTGAATACGTTGAGGTCTCATTTTCGCTATGGTGGGCTTATTATCTGTTGCACATTGTTCACAAGGCAGCTCTGAAGTTAAAGTGAGATCCTGTGCATGGAGTCACATTGAACTCCCAGAAATTAGAGCGTGTGCATGACATAGGGTACATTTTATGTATGTTTGTGTAATTTCAGTTTCTTTCTCGTAGACTCTGTTGGAAGCTCTGACTGTGGCCTTTGTTGGTAAGCCATTGTTGTACTTCTCTATGTTACAGTAACTTTTTTTTAACTTTTTCTTGAGATTATGATAGTTTACAACCTTGTGAAATTTCAGTTGTACATTATTCTTTGTCAGTCGTGTTGTAGGTGCACCACTTCACCCTTTGTGCCCGCCCCCCCACCCCCCCCATTCCCCCCATTCCCCTGGTAGCCGCTAATCTCTTTTCTTTGTGTATATGTTTAACTTCCACATGTGAGTGGAGTCATACAGAGATTGTCTTTCTCTGTCTGGCTTATTTCGCGTAACATAATACCCTCAAGGTCCATCCATGTTGTTGTGAATGGGACGATTTTGTCCTTTTTTATAGCTGAGTAGTATTCCATTGTATATATATATACCATATCTTCTTTATCCAGCATCAGTTGATGGGCACTTAGGTTGCTTCCACGTCTTGGCTATTGTAAAGAATGCTGCAATGAACATAGGGGTGCATGGGACTTTTGAAATTGCTTATTTCAAGTTCTTTGGATAGATACCCAGTAGTGGGATGGCTGGGTCATATGGTATTTCTATTTTTAATTTTTTGAGAAATCTCCATGCTGTTACAGTAACTGTTTAATGTGGGAAAATCTTTTGGGTAAAAAGATGTTTGGGGCTAACGCTTAACATCATGGAATGTCGTATTTCAAAAGTATGGCATAGGGTGAAGATGTCCTAAAATAGAAGCAAAAATTAAATGTTTGTATTCACGTAGTTTAGCTGAGCTTAGAGGCAGTGGAAGGAATTAGGAAAGCAATAAGAATGGAGAACAGTATTCATGTGCATGTATCCATTTATAAAAATAAGACAACCGTGGGTAGTCTTTTTCCTAATGTAAAGGGATCTTAGAGGAACCAGAAACACAGGTTTTGAGCCATGTGTGTTCATCACATGGGCTTAGCCTCTGAATTGCCTGCACTGAACTGTGCTGTATGGTTATATCCTCGGATTTTGTCAAATGGCGCCTCAAGAAACAGTGGTAATTTCTGTTTTGCATTTGGTGTTAAATATGTGTTTGAAAGGGAGTGTCTGTTATAATTACTTGAGGTACCCTATGTAATGCCTCAAGTAAAAAATGTCATGATTTGTTAACAACAGAAATTCCACTTGTCTCAAAATGATTGACCTGGTGTACCAAAAAAGTCAGAATTAACTATTACTTTCAACAACAGTAAATTGTTAATCCTTTTGGTTAATGTATTTATCTCTCCCTATTTTGTCATTACTGTTTTTAACCTTTCTACGCCAGTTTTATTCAATCTGTATATTGTTTGTATCTTCCTTTTATAAAAGAATCAGAATATAAGCAAATAATAAGAAATAACTACTAAAATAAATAGGATTGAAGTTTATCAACATAGAAAGGAAGTATTATTAATATTTACTTATTATTAGTGTTATTATCTATTAATGTTACTTTCTGTAAACCTTATTATCAAGTCTCTCTCTGGCCTCCCCTGCTCCTACCATTTATAAGGGGCACGAGAGAGATTTATTTCAGTGTTATTGGAATTGGGGCCAGAAATTCATAGATGGGCTAATCTGAGAACATCATTTTCTTCATTAATTACAATATTCTTTTCCTAATCATATACTGAAATTACTGACAAGAAGCAAGTATTTTCATGTTTTATCTTTTCTCTGGTCACCTTCCTAATCTTATAATGGCATAAATAGAGAAATTCCAATAATGTAACATTTAGGAATAGAAAGAACTTGGATAATTAATGCTGAAAGATTAAAAATTGGTTAAATGGTTTTGGGTTCAAAGCACTTAACTTGCTTTAAAGAGGTTATAGTTTAGCATTCTGTTAAAATGTTAAGCAGTTGTTTTACAGGAGTCCATCCAGTCCATCCAGATGGTCCTTCTAAAATTACAAAAGGGAATTTGGTATATATTCGGTAAACCACCAGTAATGTCCTCCAGGGTCCTGTAGATGTGGGTCGGAAGCAGTTAGTGGTTCGTTTCTGCTCTCGGCAGGGTCAGTGAATGGCGGGTGAGCCCAAACAGCCCTAGTATTTTTCTTGCCCAGTTTTTTTGATTTGGGCTGATGAACTGGGTGTGTAGTTACCCAAGTGATTGCTAGAGTCGCTGCTGTCCGGAATTCCCAGCCAGCTGCAGGACGCAGAGTCATCCCTGTTGGTGTTGCAGTTATAGTGGACAATCGCCACAGATGGTCAGAGACTGCGGCTGGGACGGGGATGGGTGAGAAGCATTCCCCCGTGTCCCAGAACTCCTAACTGGCTAGCTGTGTCCTCTCTCACCATCATTTCTTTAACGTCCTCATGATATGACCTCCCTATTTTGTATGAGTGAATATTTTGGAGCCTGTTTATTGCATTAGGGGTGTGGTTTTACTGTACCAATATTCAAGAGTGAATAAGGCATCTTTTCATAATTATTTTTATTGGCAAGTAGTACAGGAGAAAATAAAGCATTTCTGTTAAAAGCCAGAAAAAAGCTGTTTTATAATGAGTATGTTTATATGCGTTTTTAATCAGTGTTTTGTCATTTTACAGTTACTTTCTATGATGTATATATTGTTCTGCAAGCTTTCGTACTGACTACCGCGGTATTTCTTGGTTTGACTGTATACACTCTACAATCTAAGAGAGATTTCAGCAAATTTGGAGCGGGGTAAGTTATATATTCCTGGCTATGATAGATAGATACCTTTAATATTATAGGTGGTTTTGAGAGAAGTGCCACACTGTTAGCTTTGGATACTGTCTTTTAAAATGAGGGGTAATGAGAGGTCATCTTTTTGAGTATTAGGGCCAAAGCCTATGGTCCCAGAGCATAGAAAGAGGTGGAAAGTGGCTTCGAGTCATTTGCTTCCCCTCTACACTGAAGGGCAAGTGCATGTCTTTTCAGAGTGGCTAGGACTGTGTGCTTTACGAATGGTATGGAATTTACCTAAATTATTTAGGTCTCTGCCTTAACATAAATGTTACCAAGACCATCCACATTTTTGTGGCAAAAACAAGGTAACTGTGGGACCAGCCTGGTGGCGCAGCGGTAAAGTTTGTGCACTCTGCTTCGTGGCCTGGGGTTCGCTGGTTCCGATCCCAGGTGCAGACCTAGCATTGCTTGTCAAGCCATGCTGTGGCAGGTGTCCCACATATGGAGTAGAGGAAGATGGGTGTGGAGATTAGCTCAGAGCCAATCTTCCTCAGCAAAAAGAGGATTGGCAGCAGATGTTAGCTCAGGACTAATCTTCCTAAAAAAAAAAATAAATAAATAAAATAAGGTAATTGACCCAGGTGTTGGAGATGTCTGCATGAACTTTAAAAACTTTTTGGTCCATGTACATTAACCTGTATCTTTTTTCAAACTAATAAATATATGGAATCATCCTTTTTATATTTGGATAATGGTACTGTGTTGCCCTCACCTGTTGAGAATGTATAGACTCTTTTCTAAGCTCACAATGGCTTTCTGTTGGCACATAATCACCCAACCATTTTCTGTTCTTTTTCCTGTTACAACACTGAAAATTTATAGAAGTGTACTCTTGCAAAACTTTCTTCCCTCCCCTTTTTTTCCCCCTGGTAATCCAGATTGCCAGAAATCTCTATTGGGATAAAATATAGTTGGTCAGCCAACATGGACAATTGTGCAAGATGCTGAAATAGTTGTATTAGAATGGAGATTGATTTAGGGAGAGGCAACACTGTTTCTCATTTCCTTGTGTGTGTGCGTGGGGGATGTTTCATACATGTTTGTGTGTGAGATGTGCTGGAAGATTTCCTCTCGCTTCTCTTTTCCATCCCAGTCTCCAACTGTGCTCCTCCCCACCCGTCCTAGCACGCTCTCTAGAACTCCTGTTCCGCCAAACAGTCTCCCCTGTATTTCAGCCTCTTTATGATAGATTCTTTCTTCCTTATCTCAGCTGAAACTTGAGTCCTCCCTGAGAAGACTGTTCTCCAGCTGCTTGCTGTCTCACACCCTGTGTGGTTTGGGGTGGGGGTTACTGTTGAAACTGTTTCGGTCCTCTAGTACCATTTCACTGTTCCTTCAGCGTGGTGGAAATTCATTGCTTTAACGCTTACGCTGTCTGGCTGTGCACTTCCCACCCTTCCTCAGCACTGGCACCGATTCCCTTATTGCTGAAGCCTCCCTCATTCTTTGAAGACTTTTGCATTGAACCACTTTTCAGGCCTGTCCATCACCTTAGCTTCTCAATATCTCTGGCCTTCTTCTACTTGAGCACCTTCTGTCTCCCTGCCATGGCGACATTGTGGACCTTATCATAACTAGGGATTGTGCTGTTGCTGAAATCTTAAATGCCAGCGTCCCACTTTCTTTCTTCAACCTTCTGTCCTTCTAGCTCTCTCATTTCTTTACTCCCATGACACCTATCTACTATGCCTGTTCTTCAGCTACTGCTATTGCTGTAATAAACTATCCTTCATCTCAGACCTAGGAGTCTCCTGTCTTCTACCTTTATCCATGAAACTGTGCCAGGCTAACTTATTAGCTTGCAAGTAGGGTAAAATCTCAGATGCTTTACCGTTCCTAATACCACCTTCCCCGTACTACTTGGTGAAGAAGCTTTGGAGTTTCCCTAGGGTGTAGTATGAAAAAGCAAGTCCTGAGTCTCCTTCAGTCTTGAAGGATCTATACTGCGAAGTGGCATGATACTTCATTCTCACTTAGATATGCTAGATGTATCCTGAGAAATTTTGTGGCCATTCCAGCAAAAGAACTGAGAGCTGGAATCTCACCATGCTCTCAATTCACCTTGAGACGTAAGTGTCTCATAAACGTCAGTTAGGTCAAGTTGCTTGACAGTGTTGTTCAGGTCTTCTGTATGCTTACTAATTTTCTGCCTATGTTTCCTATCAATTAATGTGAACGTGGTGTTGAAATCTCCAACTACAGTTATGGATTGGTCTGTTTCTCCTGTCAGTTCTATAAGTTTTGCTTCACGTTATTTGAAACTGTTTTTAGATGCATAAACATTTAGGATTATGTCCTCTTGATGACCCCTTTATCATTATGAAGGGGTTATCTCTGGTAATAATCTTGCCCTAAACTCTGTTATATTAATATAGCACCCTGGCTTGCTTTTGATTATATAGCATGGTATATCTTTCTCCCTCCTTATATTTTTAGCTTATTTGTGTCTTTATAGTTAAAGTAGTTTTCTTTTAGGCAGCATATCATTGGATCTTGCTTTTTTTTAATCCAGTCTAACCATCCCTGATATTAATTGGTGTGTTTAGAGTATTTACATTTAATGTGATTATTGATACGGTTGGGTTTAAGCCTACTATCTTGCCATTTGTTTTCCTTCTGTTTGTCCAGTCTGTTCTGTGTTCCTTTTTTCCTCTATCCTTCCCTCTTTTGGATTTGATTCCATTAGTCTCCTTTATTGTATATTAGCTATAGCTCTTTTAAATAGAAGTTAGGTTTTACAGTATACCTCTTTAAGGCATCATAGTCTACCTTCAAATCATAGACCATTTCATATCCACTGTACTTTCATCTCCTCTCCCTACCTTTGTGCTGTTGTTGTCATAACTTTTAGTTCTACAGTAGGTTATAAGCCTCATAACACATTGCTATTATTTTTGCTCTAAACATTAAATTATCTTTTGAAGAGATTTAAGAAATAGATGAAGTCTTTTATGTTCACCCATATATTTACCATTTCTCTTGTTCTCCATTTCTTTGTGTAGGTCCAAGTTCCCATCTAATATTTTCCTTCTCCCTGAGGAATTTCCTTTTAACATTTCTTATAATGCTGTTCTTTTGCTCTCAGCATTTGTGTATCTGCAGAAAATCTTTATTTTAGGAAATATTTTTGCTGGGTATAGGATTCTGTTTGGGGTTTTTTTTTTCTTGCTTTCAGTGCTCTAAAGATGTCACTCCGCTATCTTCTGGCTTTTTCTGACAGGAAGTCTGCTGTTGTTTGTTCCTCTGTGTGTAATATGTCTTCTATCCCCTAACTACCTTTAACATTTCCTCAGGAATTTTCAGTAATTTGATTAACGTTTTCAGTAATTTGATTATGATATTCCTTGGCGTGGTTTTTTTCATGTTCCTTCTTCTTGGATCTGTCAGTTTAAAGTTTTCATCAGATTTGGAACATTTTCGGGCATAATTTCTTCAGATATTCTAATGTTCCTCCTTCTTTCTCCTCTCTAAGACTCCAGTTCCAGGGGTGTTAGGCTTCCTGATGTTGTCCCATAGTTCACTGATGCGCTCTTCATTATTTTTTGGTTAGTTTCTGTTGCTATTTTCAAGTTAAATAATCTTTTCTTCCTTAGTGTCTAATTTGCTATTAATTCCAACCAGAGTACTTTTCATTTGACAAATTGTATTATTCATCTGTGGAAATTTAGTTCAATTTTTGTGTTTTAAAAATATATATCTTCCATTTCTCTCTTCATGGTGATGCTTTCCTCTGCCTCCTTGAACATATGGAATATTTTTTAATGTCAATGTTTACTAATTCTATTATTGTGTCATTTCTGAATTTGTCTCTATTGATTGACTTTTCTCCTTGTTACAGGTCATATTTTCTTGGTTCTTTAGCGTGTCTTGTAATTTTTGATTGGGTGTTGGTCATTGTAAATTTTACATTGTTGGTTGCAGAATTTTTTTGTTTTCCTTTAAATATCTTTGGCTTTGTTCTTCCAGGAAACAGTTAACTTCCTTGGAAACTGCCTGAACCTTTTGAGGCTTCCTTTTAAGCTCTGTTAGGCAGGTCCACAACAGCTTTTAGTTTAGGGCTAATTTGGCCCCACTACTGAGACAGTGTCCTTCTGAGGATTCCTCCAAGCCTCATGTCTTAGGAGGTCTCTCCACTCTGGCTGATGTGAAGGTGAACTGTGTGAGCTCTGTGTGAATGCGAACCTGGCCTTGTGTGAGCTCTAAGGGTTGTTAGCCTGCTCCTCTCTGGTGGTTCTTTCCCCAGCCTTTGTCATTTCCTCACGTGTATGCATCGATCAGTACTCAGCTAAAGACTTGAGAGGAGCCCTCTGTATATCACCAGAGCTAGCTAGCTGTCTGTATAGCTTCTCCTCTCTGGAACTTTGGCCTGCAAATTCTAGCCACCTTGGCCTCTCCGACCTCTGAATTCTTGTCTTCACCACTCAGAGAGACCACAAGGCTCCATATGGGTTCCTGTCCCTACACTGTGGCCTCGAAACTCTCTAGCTGGGCCAGCTGTAGAGCTCACCTCCTTTGTTTCTCTTATCTCAGGAATCACTGTCCTGTGCTGCTTGCTGTGCAGTGTCTGAAAACTGTTGTTTCATATATTTTGTCTGGTTTTATTTATTTTTTAAAGATTGGCCCTGAGCTAACATCTGTTGCCAGTCTTTCTTTCTTCTTCTTCTTCTCCCCAAAGCCCCCCAGTACATAGTTGTATATTCTAGTTCAGGCCCTTCTAGTTCTGCTGTGTGAGACGCCGCCTGAGTGTGGCCTGATGAGCAGTGCTAGGTCTGCACCTAGGATCTGAACTGGCGAAACCCTGGGCCATCAAAGTGGAGCGCACGAACTTAACCACTGGGCCATGGGGCTGGCCCTATTTCTGGTTTTTATTTAAGGAGGGAAAGTAAATTTGGCCCCTGTACTTCCTTGTGGCCTGAAGCAGCAGATGTGCATTGAGGCCTCCAAGTCTCATATTTGATAACCAAGGGCTGAGTTATTAGACATCTTTTGTCATATAATTATACTTTATATATATAATATGTAATTATACTTCATATAAAGGTGTGAATGACAGCTCATAAAATTATAGCAGTGGCAAGTTTACGTGCATAAAATTAAGTTCTTTAATACATCAGAATGAGAGAACATGGGGAACTTTAATGGATGTGCATGTTCACAGAATAACTTACTATTGTTATTTGGTTTAAAAATGCAATTAATGTCATTTATTCATGTATATATTTTCTAGAAGTTTTATGGATCTATGAATTAAAATACTTGTAATGGTATTTCTGCTTATATCCATATTTTCTTTGTATTCCAATTAAAAACTTTAAAAATGATACTCTTAACTAGTTTTGTACGCCTTAAAAACAAATATTGAATAGCTAGCTATTCTTTCAATTTCTGGGTATTCTGTAGTATTCATTATATGTTTATGAATTCTTATATTTCAGTTATTCTTTGGCAAATATCAGGATGGATTTATTTCTTCAGAAAATGTTGAATGGGTTTACAGAGGTTTTTGGGAAGGAATAATACTCTGAATTATGAATGTTTTGTTTTTATAGATTGTTTACTGCTTTGTGGATTTTGTGCTTGTCAGGAATCTTGAAGGTAAGTTATTTTAAAATGGTAACTTGAAATAGAATTCTGGTCATGTCAATATAAATAATTTTTAAAAGCTATAAGAGGTACTCTTATGTTAGGACACTTACTTATAATTATCTGGAACATTTGTATATAGAATGATTATAAAATTATCCTTAAAAAATCAAAGTCTTGGGGGCTGGCCCCGTGGCCGAGTGGTTAAGTTCGCGCGCTCCGCTGCAGGCGGCCCAGTGTTTCGTTGGTTCGAATCCTGGGCGCGGACGTGGCACTGCTCGTCAGAGCACGCTGAGGCAGCGTCCCACATGCCACAACTAGAAGGACCCACAACGAAGAATATACAACTATGTACTGGGGGGCTTTGGGGAGAAAAAGGAAAGAAAAAAAAAAAAAAATCTTTAAAAAAAAAAAAAATCAAAGTCTTATGTTAATCAGTATTATTGCGTGAAAGATGAAGAACAGATGAGCAAAATTATACAGAAAGAGGCCCTCACATGTAATTGCTAACCTCCAAATGGCACATGTAATTCTGAAAATGAAATATATTTTTAAATAATTTATATTTGGAATGCTAGTGTTCAAAGTCAAGGGGGTAATTTAATAGAAAGGAGGATATCCATCAATTCATCCATTCATTCTTTCATCCAACAGAGGCGAGGGTGGACCTGCCTTGCCTTTTTCTCCTTTTAACATTTGTATTCAGAGTTGTACAGCATTATTACATATGTATGTAGCATATGTAACTTAAGAATTCTTAATCCTGTTCTGAACTATAAACTTACTACTTTAATCTCTCGCCTGTAGTTCTTTTTTCACAGTGAGACAGTGGAGTTGGTCATCGCTGCTGTAGGGGCCCTTCTTTTCTGTGGATTCATTGTCTATGACACACACTCGCTGATGCATCGGCTGTCACCCGAGGAGTATGTATTTGCTGCCATTGACCTCTACTTGGATATCATCAATCTATTCCTGCACCTGTTGCGGTTTTTGGAAGCAGTTAATAAAAAGTGATTGAAAGAAATGGATTCATTAAGTAATTAAGTTTGAAATATAATTAACTATTAAATACTTTTATTACTTCAGATCTATTACTATAATATAGTATAATAGCAATGTATGTATTACTATTATATATACTAATTATATAGTTATGTGCAATATAATATTAAATGTATAATATAATTACTAGATTATATAATTGTAAATCTTACTATTCTTTATGGTATCTTGTTTCTAAATCCTTGATTTAGAATCTCAGGTAAGAGATATCAGTATTCTATTTTTCAATCCTAAATTTGCCATATATAGATTGTTCATTTGCAATTCAAAAAGAATTTCATGAGTAGATTAGTTTAAGAATACCAATTTATCTTTGTCTAGTGATTTTATCTAAATTTTTTCTTAATTAACATTAGATTTGATTTTGATTTTAAAGTACTTCTGTCCTTACCTATATAAAGTATAAATCTCCTTTTACTAGGAGATTTTAATCTTATTTAGAAAGAAAAAAAATATAAAAGATAAATTCCACAGAGAATTGTTCAGTACTATATTAAAATTATATTAAAATGTCAATGACATTTCATTATAAAATGATGTATTAAAAATTAAGTCTTGGGGCCGGCCCTGTGGCTGAATGGTTAAGTTCGCATGCTCCGCTTCCATGGTCCAGGGTTTCGCTGGTTTGGATCCTTGGCGCGGACATGGAAATGATGCGGGGTTGGTGAGCCGAAGAGTCGAAAGAAAGATTTCTTAGACTCTTAAGATCTGGCAGTAGTGCTCTTTTATTTAGAGAATAGTAAGGAATAGCATGGGGACAGGACCCATGGGCAGTCAGAGCTGCTGCGTGGGGACAGGACCCACGGGCAGGAGGAGCCACTGCTGCTGCTGCTTCTGCTGCCCCAAGTTGAGGGTTAGAGCTAAATTTAAGGCATAGGTATGTGAGTTATCTCTTTACAAGACAAAAAAAAGTTAAAATGGTACCAGTGCCGGTAGGGTCCGGCCATTGGGCGGTCCCACAACTTTTAGATAAGAATCAAACAGGATTGAGTAAATGGTAGAAGTCACCGCTTAAATATTATCTTCAGCTAAAGACAAAGGAGGATTTTGGGGTGGGGGGTCAGTTACATGAGGTTGCCAGACAGTAAACAACTTAAGTTCTTGCCTTCCCCATTAAGAGTTTCCAGAGATAAGGCCATCCCCCCTTCCTCCTGGCGCAGAGAGGGAGGCATGGAGATTTCCTTCACAAATGCAACTGTCTCTGATCAAAGGGCAAGCAAATTCCACTCCTCAGAGCCTGCTTCTCATCTGCAGTTTTAAAATGAAGCAGCCTAAAATCCTCATCAGTACCGCTCATCAGGCCATGCTGAGGTGGTGTCCCACATGCCACAACCAGAGGAACCTACAACTAGAATATATAACTATGTACTTTGGGGAGGGCTTTGGGGAGAAAAAGGAAAAATAAAATCTTTAAAAAAAAAAAATCTGAAAGTCAGGTTTTTGACATAAAATTTGACATTTTTTCAAGTACAGATTTTCCTTTTTAAAATTACAGCAGTGTACCAGTGGCCAATGAAACTGGCAAATTCCCAAAGAACCACAGCCGGGGGCACTTAAACAGACATTAATTTTCTCACATCCTGAAGGCTAGAAGACTGAGATCAAGGTTTCGCAGGGCTGGTTTCTTCTGAGGTCTTGCTCTTGGTTGGTAGATGGTCATCTCCCTGTGTCTTCACATGGGCCTCTCTCTGTACTTGTCTCTGTCCAAATTTCCTCTTCTTATAAGGATACCTGTCATATTGGATTAACGCCCACCCTAATGACCTGATTTTATCTTAATTATCTCTTTAAAGACCCTATCTCCAAATATGGTCACATTCCAGGGTGCTGGGGGCTAGAACTTTGCAGTGGTCTGAATGTTTGTGTCCCTCCAAAATTTATGTTGAAACCTAAAGCCCAGTGTGACAGTATGGGGAGGTAGGACTTTTGGGATGTGCTTAGGTCATGAGGATGGAGCTCTCATGAATAAGATGAGTGCTCTTATAAAAGAGACCCTACAGAGATCCCTCACCCTTTCGGCCACGTGAGGTGACAGCGAAAAGACCAGTCCATGAACCAGGAAGAGCCTTTAACTAGACACCGAATCTGCCAGCACCTTGATCTTGGACTTACAGCCTCCGGAACTGTGAGAAATAAATTTCTCTTGTTTATAAACTACCCTGTCTCTAGTGTTTCGTTAAGGCAGCCCTAACAGACTAAGAGAGACTTCATTTTATGAATTTTGGGGGGACACAGCTCAGCTCATAACACTCACTAAGCATCTTTTCCCAGCTATGGAAAAGTTTAAACAAATTAGTAGTATAGATTTAATCTCTGGTGAATTTTAGATGTAAATTTGACTCCATCATTATCAGTTATTTGTTGAATACCCAATTGCATGATGCTATTGTGGGGAGTGGAATTGGCCACCCCAAGATATGTCTCTTTGGCATGAGGATTATTTGAGGCTGATTGCTTTTGATAATCTGAGACAGGGAAGGAGGCTCTGAGGAGTAGAATTTACTTACCCTTTGTAAGGGACATTTACGTTGTAAAGGAAATCTCTATCTGTAAAGGTGCCTCCCTCTCTGTACCAGGAAGAAGAAAGGAGATGACCTTATCTCTAGAAACTCTTAATCAATGGGGAAGGCAAGGACTTAAATCTGCATTTGTTTATTGTGCTTATCTGGTAATCTCCTGTAACTGACTTCCCTCCCCCTCCCAACGTTGGCACTTCTTTAAGGATTAAGCATCTTTCCTTAGGCTAGGAACTGATTGCTGCGCTCACCTCTGACCACCCAGCTTGAGACAATAGACTTGCCTCCTGCTATGCCCACCGAGATAGCTGACCCACTATCTGCTGTGTCCATCAAGCGCTGTGCGACAGGGCAATCTTGTGACTATTGTGGGAGGGACATTTCAATCACATGTGAAATATCCTGTTTGTGGCTATATAACCACTCTGTGCACCCCACTTCTTCGGTGCCCTTTCTTCCTTCGGGAAGAAAGGCCCCAGACCATGTTCCTCATAAAGCTTTGTTTCTCTTGCGATTCTGTCTCATGTGAATTTAATTCGTTCTCCGGCCAGACGAACCCACTTTGGCTAGAGGAAATGTCTTCCTCCCCTACACTATACTCAAGTTTAACATAGCAGAGTAGGTAATAAGTTAGAATCCTTTCTGTGCAGCTTCCTTCTTGTATCTCCTTTGGCAGTTGCTCATTCTTCCTTCTTTAGGTCTTTTGCCTCATCTTTACAATACAATAACAATACCTAGTTTATTGGGCTGTTATAAGGATTAAATGAGATGGATATATCATATAAACTCAGTGTTAATGTCAGCTGCTATTAATAATATTACTATTGTCAGTCTAAAGGCAGAATGTACTGAATTGGAACTAAAGATAGTAAATAAACCAAAGCAGATTTGACCTTTAAAAAATATAAAACAATGCCATTCTTTTCAGAAAATTATTTTTTGGTTTGGGAAGTACATTTGATCATTTTAGCCCAGTTCAAACTTGTCTTTGGGATGGCAAAGGAGTTTTTGGTAACAACTTTGAGGCAAAACTGACATACAGTAAATTTCACATATTTAAAGTGAACGATTTGATAAATTTTGGCATATGCGTACATCCTTGAGACCATCCCAGAAATGAGAAAATTTAAGGGCTGCAAATAGAGATCTCAGTTCGGCTTCTAGAAGAAGGCGTGATCTGGAATGCCGCGGTCCCAGCAGGTCCGTGAGTGCTGAGAGCGGCGAGGCGGACCTGGGATCTCAGGGGGTCCGCACTCCCCACCTCACCTGCAGGGGCACCTGGCCAGCATCATTCCCGGGTTGCGGGTCTCGGGGCTGCCCCGCCCATGCCCGGGACGCCGCCTCACTGGCGCCGGAGCCTCCACCTGGGTTTTCCTCCCCCTTCCCCAGCTCCAACTTCGGAACCCACCTGGGAGGGGCCGCGCTCCAGGCCCGCGCTCGCCCCCGGGGCAGAAGGTGCGCGTGCGCAGAACCCCGCCTCTCCGCTGGGGTTCCCGGCGTGCAGTGCGCCGACCCGGGGCGGGGCAGTGGAGGGCAGCCCGGAAGGCGGAAGTGCGTGGGGTTCCTGTCGGCGTGCGCCGCGTGCGTCTGAGCGTCTGGGCGTCCAGGTGAGTTCAGGGTCTCCCGGGTGCGGTGGGCGTGGGACCCGCGTCTCGACGCCGCCGCCGGTGCAGAGGCTCACCGTGTCTTGGCGAGCGTGCGCCCGGCCCGAGGCCCCGGCCCCGGGGGGCGAGGGTTCCCCGTGCGGTGCGAGTGGAGGCCGCTCTGGTCTGTGCCGCCCGGTAAGCTGGGCCCTCGAGGTGGTCTGCCGCGGCCTCGGTCCCTGCCCCTCGCAGGCTGGGGTTGTGTGGACGGGGGCACGGGGAGTGTGTGGTTGCTGGGCGTCCATCCCACAAACGCCCATTCAGCCTTGACTGGGTGCAGAGCGCTGCGCATTGGGGGTCCGCAGTGAGCAAGACTGCTCAGCCCTGCTTCCGTGGAGCCCCCATGCCCAGGGGACGACGCAGGATTGTCTCAGTGATTTCAGCTTGCAGCGCGTGTTAGAAAGGAAAGGAAAGGACCATGCGATAGAGAATAGAAGGGGGCGGTTGCGGGGTCAGAGGCGCCCTTTCTGAGGTCCTGAAGTGATGGAGCAAGGCTTGCGGACATCAGCCCCCAGACACGGGGACGGCACGTGTAAAGGTACTAAGTGGACGCAGTTTGGACTTCTTTTTTCTTTGTTTCTTGTTAAAATCATGTTTTAATGATTTATTTAACTGCTTTGTTGATGTATAATTAACACAAACTGCACGTTTAAAGTGTGTAGTGTAAGTTTTTGATATATATACAAACGTAAATCCATCAGCGCAGTCAAGATGATGTTATAAATCACTCCCGAAAGTTTCCCTCTAAACTATATAATCCCTATTCTCTTTTCATTTCCACCCCTCATCACATCCCCACAGGGTCCCTAGGTTGTCATTGGTTGGACTTGTTTCAGATGTAATTGGTA